TTCCAATTATTATGTTATAAAGACGGATTAGGAAATATTTTCAATAAGTATATAATCATAATATGAACAAGTTTAATTAACACTTTGTTATTTCTCGTCTCAAGTTCGCGAAATATTATTACTGTTTATGTTTATAAATTATCGTGGCGATTTTTTGACTGTTTTTAATCTTTTGGCATTTATGACAAATTATTACCATCATTTAAAAATTGAACTTTGACTCAATATATTAAGTGTAAATTATAACTTGAGTTATGAGAGTGGGCTTTATGGGGAACTGAACCTTATGGATTTGTTTTTTGTATCCTCAGAAAAATATTTTTTAATAAGGATAGCTTTAATCCTGAGGATACACCTTATCCTCAAGAAACCCTTTAGTAAAAACTCCTAAAGATTAGGTCTTCTTCCCGTTGTAATAAATGTGCACAAATTTGAAACGACCAATCATTTTAACCCTTTGAAAAAAACTGAAACTTTAAAAAATTGTCCAATCAATTTAAACTAATTTTATTTTTCTTTTTTTCAACATTTTTGTGATTTTCTCTCTATATTTCATTGCGCCAAAACACCATTAAATTACGGGAAATACAGATTTGTAAAATTATGAAATTTTGAACATTTTCTATTTTAATTAGTGTTAAAAACCTTGTTTATAGAAAATGTTTTGTCATCTTGGGAAAGTCTTTTCCAATAAACAATCAACAAGTAAAATAATATACTTGTGACTTTAGTTTATTTCTTCACCATATCTTTAACTTTGGATTTATGAAAATGGTATTCAACAGTCCAGTGTGTATGGTAACAAATATTGAGGTGGTGAATTATTGTTATTTTATGAAAATATTTTGACAACCTATAATGAAAATGGACGACTTTACATGTTTACGTTATCCAATATGGCACTATATAATAATTTTATGTTGTAATACCAAATTGTTCATGTTTTATTTCCAAACAGTTTAAAATGTTATTCAATTTTTGTTTTTAAATATTATATTAAAAAAAATAATTTATTTAAATATAAATAAATATATTTATTTATATTTATAATCTTAATAGTTTTGGATAGCTTTTATATAATCAGGGTTAATAAGTGATTAATTAAAAATTATAATCATATAAAGAAAAAATCGAAAAAATCAATTTATTTCATACTGTTTGTTTCATTCGTATCTGTTTTATTAATTCGTTCGTACCCATTAACAAAATAGAAAGCAACAACCAGAGTGATACAAGACCTCTCGAGTAGTATTACTATGAGAGGTGTCTATAACTGGGTTTAAAAACCCAGTTAAAACAATCAAAATTTGCTGCGGCTCGGGATAAGAGTTGATCGACGAGAGAAAGGCATCTCTCTTAAAATTTAAACAAATTGTTGTATTTTTTGTTATTTGGATTTTGTTATTGGTATTTTCTTTTATGAATATTGTTTTTGATAAAATGTTATTTGAATTTTTGTTATTTAAATAATGTTATTAAAATAATGTTATTGTCGATTAAGGGTTTTGTCCCAAAAATGTATTTTTTTACCGTTTCACATTTTTTACTAAAGTTGCCCTAATTGTTCTAATGATCCTAGTTCATTTCTCCTACTGTATTATTTTTGTAAAATTTTTATTATTAATAATATTATTATTACACATGATTAATTAATATGTAATAATAATAGTATTTAAAATATATAATAACTATATAATTAAAAAAAATAAATACAAATTAAATTAAAATGAATTAACTATTTGTTTTTATAACAAAAAAAATATTTTTAAAGCCATTGAAACTATATCAATAATAACATTAAATTATAAAATATAGGGATCAAAAGAGTTCGTTACATATCGTATCAACAAAGCCTGTGAGTTCAAATTGCTTTACCACGACACCACGTTCACCCATATGTCCATTCACATGTTCCCATACCAGTTTACCAAGCCGTTCTATACGATCATTATTTAAGATTATACCATTAGGAAAGACTACTGACATCTCACCATAAATACCTTCTCTGTTTTCACCCTTGTATGATACTGAATACCCCTCCTCATATAATATATCCTCTAAGATATGCATAGTTTCTCTTCTTTTTTTGTTGAGTGCTCTTCTTAAAGCCGTCTTTTGTGACGCGCCCTTTAAAATATACACATTTTCCATTTCTTTGCAGCGTCTCTTCACAAGACTCGAGACTTCGAGTTGCCAGACTTCGCTTTGGTACAAAGTCAGTTTACTCACTTTAAGAAATTGATGCGAGTATTTTGTACTCTTTTGTGGTCGTGAGAAGTGGACTGAACATTCATTAGAAAGAAGTGCCAAAAGTGTACACTCAAGGTATGTCGATGTGTTTCTCTGGTCGATGTATCGTCTTGCTTCTGTAGCCATTGTTCTGTTGTGTTTTGTTCTTTTCCAATTCGCCTTTAAATTTTACAAAAGGTGAACTGTGCGGATAAACCCATTTTAGATATTACATATCCAAAAATACGAAAAACTACCCGTTTATTTGGCATATACAATCGAAGTTTTGTAACTTTACCTTCTCATCTTTGACAGTCTCTATCGAAGAATAGAACTGCAAACCCGGTTTATAACATCTTTGTAAATTCAAACTTCGTCTTCGTAAATTTTTATTGTATTATTTTTATTATTAATATTAACTATAATAGTTGATACAATATTGTGTGTAAATCTGAAATGTCAATAAGAGCATATTAACTATTAATATATAAATATATTTAATACAGTAAAAATAAACGAAGGTGCAATTCCAAAAGAAAATTTGTAAAACGGAAAAAGTTGTTATTTTTTTGGTTGGACAATTTGAGTTTTTTTCATATTATTTCGCTGAGAGGTGTAGTGGTAAAAGTTAATAATGAGTAAAAAAACAGTTTACAATGACACTCTTTCTTTTCGAAAAGGTGTAAATTGCCCATAGGGAATCAGGTTTTCAAAAATGAAATAAAAGTTCAAATGATTGGCTCAACTTCTTTTTAACACGCTTTTCGAAAAAAAAAGAATAAAAAACTACCCATTTGGTGTAAGAAAATTACTTTAACAATGAAAATTTTGCTAATTATCTTGTTGTTTTACTTTTATTTATAAGTTTTTTACTTTGTAATATTACTGGAAAATCCGGGTAAGTACTTTCAGTATAAAGTAGTTATCCAAAAATAAAAAAGAACAATAACGTGGAATATAATCCCGACTATTCCAACAAAAACATAGAAGTTGATATTAAAATAAAAGCAAATATACAACTATTTGTATTTGAAAATTACTTCTTAAGCACCCTGGAGTTTAGTCAAATCATGAATGTATATTTATAATTGTTCATAATTGTGGTTATTGATTTTATTGGTTAATTTATATAATTGATTTATTATAATATATACTATTTAAAAATATCAAGATTTACATCCAATTAATAACAGTTCATGAAAGATATCATAAGTTTGTTGGAATATTATAAAACAATTAACAGCAATTATTATAATATTCTTCGTCGTTTAAAATGATAATTCATTGGCTTATAACAATCTAATTTTCTTAAAATAACAGAAATTTAGTAAAACTCCAAAAGTGGGATAATTGCAAAACAACAACTCATGTTTTTCTTAAATAATTATGTCTTTATTACAATACAATTAGTTACAAAAATAATTACAAAGATTTCAAATTGACTCAATAAATAATAATTATAAATTTTTTAAAAAGTTTAATAAAGGTATTTCTATATTTAAATAATTCTAATAAAAGATTTGTAAAGATAATTTTTATTTTTTTTGATATTTTCGAATTTTGATTTAAAAACAATTATAATGTCAATTTCCATTTTTTTAAATAAAGTCGGTAATTTAACTTAAGCTAGTGGATTAAATATCTTTAATTTTATGTAAACATAAAGCATTGTGTAAAACGTGATAAAAACAAAAACAATTGGGATCAATTTTTTTGGACTACTTAAAAGATTTCAATTATTATAGTCTAATAGTTACCAGATAAAGTTAAAAGACTGATATAACTGTAATTTACAATAAAAATGAATTGGTTTTCATTTCCAAATTTGTATTAAAATGCTTTTCAAAAACTTATTAACAACATAACAAAAAGTTGTTTATTCACCACAACTTTATTATGACAAATAAAAATGTTTTAATGTTTCAAAAATTTTTTAATATATTTTATTTTTAACATATTTTTAGTAAAATTTGCCTTTTAGAATTTTGAAAAATTATATATATTCAACAATTACAAATTACACCAACTTATTTGTCTCTTGTTTATAAATTATTTTACAAAACAAAGTTGTTCGAATAAAGACACGTACAAAAACAAAGACATATTAAAATAGATATAACAATGAATGAAAATATTAAAATCCTTTTCAGTTAAATGCGAACTGTTTTTAATAAAAAAATTTTCAATGTTATCTACTGAAATCACACCCAATTTTCAGATTATGTAACGACATGGACATGAATTATATAAAGTAATATAAGAATAACAACTTTGAGTTAACAATAAAAAATGTAATATATATATATAATTATTGAATATAAACTCTTATAAAATAATTGTTGTTTTAATTAAAAAAAGAATAGGATTGTATATAATATATTCTTATATCTGAAATGCTTTTTATTATGTTGTGTGTAACTCACTGAATCAAATACAACATAGTAAATGTTGATCAAACTTTATAAACTCAAATGATAAAAAATATGATAAAGAAATGATATAATAAATGACAAATTAATTAAACAAATTAGTTGGCAGTGACGACTTCCTCTTTGAGTTCGTCTTCTTTGACTTCTTGTTTGAGTTTTCTGTTGATGATCCACTTTCGCAAGACCATCACTGAAGCAATAAGTGCAGACAACACAACTAAGACTGCAAACACAATGCCCCAAATAAGAACAGTCGCAAGCGTGTAATTTGCTTTGTTGTAATTTGCCTTCCACGCGTCGTCAGCAAGAGCTGAAGCAATAAAGAAGATGACAAAGAACATTGTTGAGTGAATGGATATCCAAGTTCACTCCTTTTATACTGTTGTTTACTTTTTGAAATACAAAATGAAATGTTCCAGCTCTCAGAGAATGTTTCGTCGTCTGTTTTGTCTTGTCAATATGACGACACACCCGCCAAAAGAGGTCATCCAAGCCTGTTCTTTGAAAAAAGCATTCGACAAAGCAATACTTCCATTCTTTGTGTTAAGCAATAACTGCTTTGTGGTAATACTGTTGGTATTTTTTATACTAGAAATATAGAATAAATTAATAAGTGTTCGTTTTAATTGAAAAATGCAGAGCCACTTCGAGCATTTCGTTCGTTTCGTCTTGTAAGTCGATATATTCTCGTTTTCTTTTTTTCGTTTTAAATATAATAACAGTATGAAAATAGCCTACAAAACGGGACTTTTAGATGTTTAAATATTTTATTGTTATTTTTTTTTAACTTCATAAAAAAATAAAGTTTATGTTAAAATCAAAAAAAAATTTTGGCAATAAAATTCGTCTTAAATTGGCTTGTTTGTTTTGCTTATTTCAAAACCTATTTGATTAAACTAAAAATAGTTATTTCTATTGTTTTGTTTTTTTTGAAAAAAAATATAATATAATAGTAATAATAATATTATTTACTAATAATCTATTGAAATAAATTAATAATTTATTTAACTATTAATTTTAATAATATCATAAAGAAAATCAAAAATTAAAAAAATAGTAAATAAATTATAATTTAATTGTATCTCACTTTTCTGGCGGAATAAGAATACAGAAGAGACTTCGAAAAAACTAAGTCACTGTTCTTCTTCACAAACGTCGACCATCCCCATTTCTATGAACCTCTGCTTAATTTGAAACATTCTCTCAATTTGTTTCTTCTGAAAGAGATTTTTCTTCCTTTGTTTCGAAGCTAAGATCTCTTCCTGCTGTTGCTGTTCCCTCTCGTCGATGACCTCTAGCACTTCGTCGCACTTCTCCTTCTCCGCCTTGACGACTCTCTTTTCAAGGAGTTTGTCTTCGACCTTTTCGTCCATTTGCATCACTTTGAGTTTCTTCAAATGGGCCTCTTTCCTCTTTTTCGCGACTTTTTTTGAATCCACTTCATTCTCCCTCCTCGCCCTTTCCTTTTTCCTCAATAATTGGTCTTTCATAAAATCTCCCTCAGCTTCGCGGAGTTTGTTTAACTCTTCCGCTTGTTCAAGTCGTTCCTTCGCTCTGTCGTGTTCCATTTCCTCGTGCACAATTCCTCGCTCGACACGTCCAATTGAATTATTGAGGTTTTCCATCTTCTCCAATTTTTTCTCGCTTTCTAACTCGTTTTGCTCGCGTTCCGCGACAGTCATCATCTTATCAATCTCAATCTTCTTTTTTTCGTTTTTCAACTGTTCGGTTTTAATTTTAAGTTCATTTTTTTCTTGTTTCTCCTTGCGTTCTTTTTCAATTAATTTATTGATTAATATCTCCATTTGCGTTTTGTCACTTTCCTTTTCTTCGATAAGAATCGTCGAGATTTTGTTTTTTCTCATCGTTTTGTTCAGCTCGTTTCGCTTGTCCTTCTCAAGAAGTTTCAATCTAGAAATCTCAAATTCAAGTTCGGAAACCTCAAAATAAGTTGTTTGGATTTTTTGTGATATGTTGTGGGCCAATTCTTTCTTTCGTTCAACTTTCGCTTCTCTCAATTTCTTTTTTTGTAATATCTCTCGTTCCACCACGGTTTTATTCCTCAACGCTCGTTCCACTTCAGCCATTTTCAGTCTTGTTTCGCTCATTTTTTGTAATAATAAAAATCTTGCTTTTGTCAAATCGTCATATGTTTTGGAGATTTCGTTCTTAAGATCTTGATTTTCATCTTCCAACTTCAAAATCGCAGCCTCGAGGTCTTTTGAGTCTTGTCTTTCCAGCCTTGTTGTTAATTTATTTAATACATTACTAGTTTTAAAAAATAGTAAATTTTAGTAAGATAAACTGTTGAACAAACCTTTTCTGCATCTCATCCAATTTCCTTTCAATTTTCTCTTTTTCGTTTTGCATCTCCACGTCTGTCTTTCCGTCACTCTCTTCATTCTCCGTCACGTGGAGACGGGGAGTTGTCACTTGAAAATCTGTTCGGGCGGACAAATCATCGACGACTTGTTGAGTTGTTTCGTAATTTGGGAGTGTTCCTGGCACGACTTTGTTCAATAGTTGTGCGAGGACTGCGTCCACACTCCCTGGTGAACTCTTTGAAATTCTTTTTTGAAGGTCGATAATCAATAATTGCCAAATCAGTGAGACAATCTGACTATAGACCTCAGGCGTTGGACTCGTAAACTCCGATGCCGTCAAATTTAACTATTCGTGAGTCTGTTAATAGTTCTTTTACTTTTTATTACTAATTAAAAAGGGTAATCTATATTTTATAATACAAAAACTAAATGATTGACCATGAACAAACTTTGACTCCGAGCAGCCGAGCAGATTTGAGAAGTGAGTTGTTCGCCTCAATTTTAAAAAATAGGTTTTCCTCGTGAGTGTCTTCGTTTTGTAAAAATTTTGAAGGGTTTGGCAGTTTGCAAATGGGGTCGACACATTTTGACGTGTCGTTTGTTGATATTGAGTTGATGAGTAAAGAAACTATGTGATTGGAATTGTCAATGAGACCTTTTAAAGTCGTTGGAATAGACGTATATGATGAAAGAAGTTGTAATAAAGTTGGGAAATCGTGAAGTTCTGATGTTGTGTCAGCCATGTTTTTTAAGTTCCTCTATCTTCGGTGCATATTCAGAATGATGGTCATTTTTATCGGAGTCTTATTATTATATTCTTGTTGTTGTACTTGTTATCTCATCTCTTTGTTACCGATAAAAATATTTTGAATAGTAATTTAATGATTCATTTATAATTAATTTAACCATTAATAAAACCACATTTGTATGTATATTTTGATTTTTCTCTTTTTTCATTTAATAAAATAATATTATAATTATTTATATTTTTCTTTAATAATAAATATAATAAAAATATAATACAAAACTAATTTATATTTAATTGTTTTAATTTTTTATATATTTATTAATATTAATTAATATTTATTAATAAACATTAGTTGAACTTATAGTTATAAATTATTATTTTATAATAACAATATTAATAATTACATTACTAATTAAATAATTATTAATTTCATTATAAACATTAGTTAAATAAATATAATAAATAATTAAATAAGTATTTCATAATATTATAGTTTCTTGTATTATTATTTATTAAATTTATTGAATATTTAAAAAAAATTTTGTTGGTCATACCACACACAACCAAAACACCACACCACTCACTCAAATCGCGTTTTTATCTTGGACCAAATCGTCCACAAACGTGTGGAAACATTTCAAAAAGTGTTTGTAGCTATATTCCCCCTCCTCTGTATCCATCGTCTCTGACATTTCCTTAATCGCCTCTTCCATCGTTGGGACTTGTTTAATATCAAAATCAGCTACATCGGTAAAGTGAATAGGAACACACACTTTTCCTGTTCCAGGATGGATGCAAAAAGGTGCTTTCAACAAATGGTTTAACTTTGTTGAGACGTTAATATCAAGTCGTGGATATAAATAGGTAAAGACAATCTTTTGGAGATCAAGCGGCGTCGTCTGTCGGTCATCTCATGTGGCTCAAAACTATTGTATAGTTTATTTTACTATTTAAATGTACCAGGGATATACTAGTAATAATATAATTAATTTTACTATATATACGAGTTTGTCAAAAGTCATACAAACGATATGTAAAATTCATCAAAACATCAAAGAACAAACGATAACTTTCCTCACGACCTCCCACGTCAAATTGTCGCCTTTTTCCTGTAAAAGTGATCGGCTTTTTGCGTCGCCGATCAATCTTAAAAATCTGTCTCTTCTATTCTGATTGCAAAAAATTTCTTGATCGGTGCAATACTTTCCAAAAATAGGTTCTAAAATATCAAAAGCGGTGTCGAACAAATCATGTTGTCTTTTCACGATCACGAAACTCTCGCCTTTCTCATTCACGTTTTTTGCTTCGAAGAGATTGAGGTATTGGACGACATAGTTACGTGTCAAATCACTCATTTCCATTGCGGAACGATCACAGACCCAGAAGTGGAGTCCACGTCGACCACTGAAAACTGTTAACACATGTTTAAATCCAAAATGAGTTACCAAAACGAAATTGAGAAGATTGGATGCCGAAACTAATAAAGGCCAACACTTCGGACACACCGTAGCACCTTTACAACAATACCGAACATCATTATATTCATCCATATCTATATCTATAACAAATTCACGTAACTTGGGAACCCCTCCAGTCCCCGTTAATAACTTATCATAAATAGCACCTATATCAAACTTCAGCGGACACTTCATGTTCAGCCGTTTCTGGAACTCAGTAGAACTCGAAAAGTGTTGGAAACGAAGATATGTGCTGTCCGGTTGAGTGAAGGATAACTCGCGGGTGTCTGAGAATTTGCCGTCTCGTGTCACCCAGCGATAAAAATCATCGGTAGGAAAACAGGACTCTATTCGTCACCGTTTCGGTTTAATTGAAATCTCTTTTTTTGTCAAAAATGATTAAGTGATGACCGTGGACGTACGTACCAAAACGAAAACGTGTTTAAAACGTTTTATTTGAAAATAGGGTCAATTTTGACTTGGAAAAATTAAAATGAGAGAGATGATTGAAAACACGAGAACCATTCATTTCAAAAACAAAAAATCAAAAATAAATAACAAACGGTAATACGCCTTTCGTTGTTCATAGGTTGGGTCTGTCTCACTCTTTTCGATTTCCATCGTCTCTTTTTGAGATTGTTTATTGACATTTCTCTTTTTTTTAAACTTGTTGTTTATTATAAAAGTATAATAAATCAAACAAAAACAATAGTTTATATATAAATGATAAAGTCGAATTATTAATAGAAAATCTACTATAATTATGTAGTTAAAAAAAGTTTTCACAAGTTATATTTTTAATATTTTAATAAAATAAATATAATAAATATAGTTTATTTAAAAAATACCCGTCACACCAAAACGGTATATTAAATTTTTTTTTTATAATATATTTATTATAAAATTAGTATTAATTTTTTACAAGTCAATACGATAGTCCAAAACTACGAAGTATAGTTATGAATAACTTTTATGAAGATCTTCTTGCAATGGATGTGTTATTTGACAGTGACAAAGACCCATATGAATGGTTTTATATATTTCCATCTTTACAAATCCGTACAAACATTGTCATATTATGTCAAGCAAATTATAACATTGTATTTGGCTTTTACTATAAAACGTTGACATTTTCGAATGAAGATGTCTCCGTACCTTCCCCTCAAATCTTTTGTTTCACTCAAAGTCAAAAAATCGCGCGGATACCACACAAAATGAGTTGTAGACCGAAAATTCCATATCTCACATCAAACGCCCCAAAACTTGTCTTAGAAAATGCACTCTATTTGTGCGAAGAACTCGACTGTTATGGCAATTCATGTAATTCATCACTTGCAACTGCAATAAATGAACTTGGAGAGAAATTCGAGGCCTTCCCGGATTTTGAAGTGCATCGGCTTCTCATTGGGCAACTCGCCATCCACAGTAACTGTCCAACGTTCAATGAACAGACAAAAAACGCAAATTGAAAACATTTCCTCAATTAGTTCGTCTCAAATTTAAAGTAATTAGAAAACGCAAACGGCATCCGATTTGTGTCTATCCCATTGACGATCTCGCAATCTTTCTTGAAAAACCTGACCTGGAACTCCTTTCCATTGATGTCGCCAAGCTGAGCCTTGTTGACAGGGAAGAACCTCTGGAGGTTTCCTTCCCCAAAAATGGTGTTACCGAGCCCAATCATGTAGTTGTCCTTCATCGAAACGGTTTCTCTCGCAAACATTCCAATGAAATCACCCTCATCGGCTGGGGCGTTAATTTTAACTAAAATTTCCGATCGATCTGGGAATGCGTCGACGACCAATTCAAACTTCTCTTCATAGGGCTCGCCAACAAAAAATTCGTCGATTGTGAATAACCGCTGGTACGTGTATGTTATACCACGCGTGTATGAGAGGACGCGCACGTCGTAGAACCCCCTCGGAAGCTCTTTATCAAAGGTGTATGTGTCTTTCCCCGTGACGGGGTAAAAGTACGTGATGTAGTTCTTGTCCATCTCTCGGCGAGCAGCGTAGAGTGCAATCATAATGTTTCCGTTGATCTTTTGTGCACTGTCTTCCCACTTCACCTTGAGGTGGTATTTGGTCAAATTCAGTGGGATGAGTTGACTTGTTAATGTCAGTTTGTTAACAAACAGTGGCGACAAATCCATTTTTTTGTGTTTCGAAGATCCTCTTCCGTCTTTTTATTCCACCAAATTACTCATTTTGTCAATCTCAATAATCTCAATTCAGTATTATAATTTTAATTGGTTTAACCATATTGAATAATACATTTTATATTGAGTTGTTTATTGACTTTAGTTTTTTTTAAAATCATTGGAATTATATTGGATTTAAAATTGATTCAATAATAATTTCTGTGTTAATCCAGTGAATTTGCTCTAATGAAGTTACCGATATAATAGAATTAAAACAATTATTTTTCAAAGAATTATTGTTTAATTAAAAGGTTTTTTATAATTATTTTTCAAACTAAAAACCTTAGTTATTTTTACCATTAATTATTATACTTATTTTTTCTAGAAATATCAATTATTAATAGTTTCCATTACTTATAATTAAATTCGATTCCCAAAACTATAATATACTCAAGACGCTCCTTTATTACGCAAAAGTGATGAGATTAGATTTTTCCTCAGATTTTTGACAATTTGAGAACGCAAATGAAAAAAACGAATCATTTTTTTCGAATCAAATAAGCGGTGTACTGCATGCACCCCGCCTCTCCAATTTCTTGACTTTTTTCAAGACACCAATTTTTTCCCCATGGATTTTCTTGAATAAAATTTGTCTTATTTTCCCCAAAAGAAAGCCATATTAAAACTCCTCCCCTTTGTAAAACCCTTGAAAGTTCTTTCATCATTTTCACAACATTTTGCGTGTGATTGATATTCTCGTCGTCTTTCTCACTCTCTTCACTGTTCTTGTCCGCTGCAAGTAACGCGTCGATCGTCGCTTTGTCGATGATGATCGAAAACTCCCCGTCACGGTATGTCATGTGCGTCAAGTCATTGACATCCCAGGTGACACCCTGTGACGGGTACTTTTTCTTCATGGCTTCGATGACGGAGGGTGAACAATCCATCGAGACTATATCGCTCCAATTACCTATTACAGACAACTTTTGTGTCAGCTCCGACGTGCCACAACCTGTTACAAGGAGCCTGCTCGATTTTTTGAAATTCATAAGCCACTCATCTAATATATTTGAGATCTCTTCATAATTACTGAGCCATTCAAAAGTATTGGAGTCGGTTTTATAACGGTCCTCCCAAAACGTTTCAGTCGCATAAGCTTTAGTTTCAAGATCCGGTTTTTCACTTTCCTCGTTGAAGTGTGAGAGTTCAGAGGAAAATTCTGAGTACGTGTTATATGAAGAAAAGTACTGAAGAAGAGCCGCTTGACTTTCTTGGCTTAGGTCAAGGTCTTCCATTCTTATAATTTGAAAGTTTTCTATTCCTTTTATTTCTTTTCATTGGAAGTTACATTCTTAGATTATTGGGCGGTATCTTATCGGATAATGCAATGAGTAACTTGTGTGTTATTTAACTTATAAATAAATCAATTTCCATATTGAATGCCGATATAATTATTTTTTAAATAGACCGTCCAACGAAATTATATCGGAATTCAATATTTGGCATTTGTCGCGAATATACTCTACCACTAGTTTTAATTAATAATATGAAATTAATATAAAAATTAATATAAAAATCAATTGCCGATAAATAGAGTTCAACTATAATTTAGAATAACAAAATTAAATAAATCATTTACAGCCATTTTTGCAGTTCGCAGACGATGTTTTGCATTTCACTTCTGTCTTCTGGGATTTGTTTCCAACAGTTTTTAATGATAATAAAAATAGAATTTGGGATGTCGTCTTGCGGAGGTCTTTTCCCTTCCATCACGAATTCGGCTATTTTCCATGGGTATTCAAACTTTTCTTGTGGGAAAGCGAAATTGAAAGACACTCCTTCATACAAAGTGATACCAAATGAATACACGTCTGCACTTTTCTTGTACTTCTGTCTTCCCAAAAGTTCGGGAGCCATATACGTTGGAGTTCCAACACCCGTAGTGAAGGTCATATTTGTCATTAACAAATTGATGTTTCGTGATGTTCCAAAATCAGTCAATTTTGCATTCACTTTCATGTCTTTTTCTAATGAAAACACAAGAATATTGTCGGGCTTAATGTCTCTGTGTAAAATCCCATTTTCGTGTAAATACAAAATTCCTTTTGCCGCGTCTAATAACAATTTGATCCGCATTTGGAGCGGAACAGAAGTGTCACATTTTGGTGACAAAGCCGACAACAAAAGATCTTTTTTGGTGTGGAAATGTTTTTCAATAACATTTTCTAAACTGCCAAATTGCGCAAATTCGGTGACTAAACACTTTTTGTTTGGGATCATCACAGCACCATAAAAATGAACAATAAAGTCACTTCGAAATTTGTCTAACATTTTCACCTCTTTTTCAAATTCAATAATCGACTCCTCACTATTGAAAACATCTTTCATCTTTTTGATCGCAACATCATTTCCTCGAAAATCTCCGCGATAAACAACTCCAAACCCCCCTTCCCCAATTTTCTTTTTTTCTTTGATTTCGTCAAAATCAAGTAAAGTAGAGACCTCTGTTCGACCAGAAATCTTCACCATAGTGTGCGTTTTTTTACCGGTTTTTAAATTGATTGTTATTACAGAAATTGAGTCGCTAAAATGACAACTACATTTTGGAGTCAGTAATAACTCAAACTCGGCAGCTTTGCCGCCAGGAATAGAAATAACACTTGGATTTGTCTCAATGAGGTATTTATCACTATTTTTAAAACTGATTTGAACTTTAAGTATCGTTTTGCCATTATTCCCAACACAAAGTAATTCACGAGACTTCTTTAAAACAGGAATTTCTCCTTGGTCTCCAAAAAATTGGACGTTGTCCGTGTTTAGCATAAAATCACTTTTTGCTTTGTGGTTGAAAGTTATATTTGAATTTTTAATATCAAAAATACACGTCTTTTCTCGTATTTTATTTTCTCTGTGTTTTTTCATCAAGAAAAGCACCACTGCGATGAACACAAATATCAAAGTGACAAAAACGAATAACACAAATAAAACAAGCAAAAAAACAACCCACCACACAACTTTCTTGCGACATGAAGTGCCGGAAGATGTCGGAACATTCCAGAACGTGCATTTTGAACATTTTGAATTAGAAACTTTAATACAATTTGTGATGTTACTTTTTGAAACACAAATTTTGTCAACTAAAACAAAATCATCAGTGCATTTTGTGCATTTTTGATTTTCGTCACACAATTCACACTGTTCTATTTTTGTATCACACGAAACACAAAATTGTGAATCGACGAAAAAGCCCGAATTACAAGACAAACACCCAGTAGGGCTTTTTGTTTTGCAATTCTCAAGAAAAGTGTATGAAAGACATTGCGTCGAATTTTCAAGGAGAAAAAAATTGGTTTTACATGTTATACATTTATCTTTTTGATTACATTCTTTACAATTTTCTACGCACTTTACACACTTCCCAAAACTATTTCGAAAATAATATTTTTCACACACTGCGCAGACAGACATTCCCAAAACAACTGTTTTGCAGTGGTCCAAATTAACAGAAGAATTTTCAGAAGATTCTTTGCACATATTTTCAACAAGATAATAGTCAGTGGTACACTTTAAACAATACGACCCATTTGTACATTTCTCACAATTTGAAGAACATGAATAACAAATTCCATCATTCAAATAATGCTTCGATGAACAACGCAAACACTTTTTGTCTTCATACCTAACACAGTCGCAGTTGGTGTCTCCGAGATATCGGGTACACTTCCCATTATGTGGAAAATACCCGTCACGGCATGACAGGCAATTTCCAAGAAGTGAAGTTATTTCACAATTTGTCACTTCTTTGCAATATCCATTTATAGAAATGTAATTTTGTGCGGAAATACACCCAGAACAATACGATGAATTTGTTATAAGACAGCCACTTGTTGTTATATCGGTACACTTTCCGGTGCTATTTATAACTCCATTTTCACATGAATAACATTTTTGAAAATCACAATTTTGACATAACGCACCAAATTGAGTTGAACATAAAAAGCACTTGCCATTATCTAAATAATAATTTTGAGAACAAAATAAGGACTCTTTATCTGTGGCTAATTCAGTTCCCGATTCGTCGGCCAATTGACATCCACCATTTTTATACACATATTTTGTATCACAAATTACACACTGATTTTCAGAATAACACAAAACGCAATTTGCACTGCAATTTTTACACGTGTGTCCTGATGGGTAAGTCCCATTTTTGCATAACAAAACTCTGTCGTATTTATATTCTATAACAGACGGATCTATAATTGGATAACACGTATGATTGAGATTATAAAAAGATAAATCACATTGGACACATTTGCTATTTTTACAATGAATGCAATGTGACGGACATTCATCACAACTATTTTTGTAAGCTTCATATCTATCTGGACAACTTTCACATGTGATATTTTTACCATTTGCGTTTTTGTAGATTTGATTGCAATTGTCACTAAACGTAGTGCAAATTCCATTTTTTAAGTAACTTGTTTTGCATTGTAAATTTTTCACAACATTTTGTGATGTGACATATAGTGCATTTGTCTGAAACAAAGGAGAAGAAATGACTTCAATGAATTGACTTTCTTTCTTGATAAATTTTGTGTTTGTAATCATCATCAAATTTGTATTAAGTTTTGTTTTCGTTGTGTAAGAAAACCCAAACAAGTCTCCCACATACAATTTGTCTGCGCCTTTCAGAGTTGAAAACGCCCCTCCGATTCCCGAAGAGTTTAACACAAATAAAACCGACTTTATATTATCATTAAAAAAGCTAGTAGAAATAGAATTACTTTTAGTAAATTTTATCACATTTTGATTTTGCACAAATTGTCCATCAAAATTTATTGTTTGATTTAAAAAAGTGTTACTCACAACAATTTTGGAATACAGTGACGATACCGGACAATGAAGAACATTATTTGTGTAATTATCATATGATTCAAAATAATCTCCAATGACTTCACAAATGACTTCATCATTAAATTGAGTAACGTTTTGGGGACAAATTCGAATCAATTTGTTTCCAATAAGATTGATGTATTTTGCTAGTGTAATAGTAATGTTTTGTGTTTGTTGAAAAGACACAAATTCAAAACATGATGCGTCGTTAATAAAAGTGTCTGGAAAAACAAAACGAATGTCAGTAAATAACAAAATACCACCATTATAGACTTTGATTATACCATTTTTGTTCATGTTATCTTTTACAGTTTCAAAAACAACATTTTGAATAAAAAGAACACCCGAAGATTGAATAGAAATTTCAGAATTTTGTCCCAAAATTAGTGTGTTACAATAAATTTGTGAAACGGAGTTGATACAATTTGTAACATTCATAACATTAACAGTGAAATTATAATTTCCGGTGATACTCACAAAACTCGTGTTAAATATCACAGATTTCCAATTTTCATTATTTGAAACAACGTAATTTGGAGATGATATAAATAGAGTCAATTCTTGTTGATTTGATACAACAAAACAGTCGCCTTTATTTCTATTATAATAACCAACTGGATACCATCCATTTATAGTATAAGAACAATTACATAAACTATTCACACTTTCTTTAAGAATACATCTTTTACCACATTTTGTAGTTACATCACTTTTGTCAACATAACTTCCATCTACTGCAAACAAAATATCGTTTATCACACTATTTTTATCAATAACATTTATTTCCGATATTTCCAAATTATTGAGAAAGTGAAAATCAGTGATTTTGTACACGACAAATTTCTTGACAATTACACTCATATGAAAAGTTACATTTGCATTATCTTTTAAATTAATTTCGTCGAATGTGAGTATTTCCGAGTTCTGTGACAAAAGTTGATATTTTTTAGAACTTGAAAAGAGCACAGACGCCCATTTTGTTCTTTCAAAAGTGATAACAATTTGGTCTTCCTTATTTTCTATCAAATTCATTAAGTTCAAAATAAACATCGAGCTGTTATAGTAACAGTCTGGAAAGTTAAAATTATTTTCATAACTAAAATCAGTGTTATTTGGTTCACAAAAGCAATTTTTATTTTTTGTGTCATTATTAAAATGTTCGTCAAACACCAAAAACCTGTGAATTCCATTTTTTTCACAAACGCTCCGTGGAACTAAATTTAAAGGAGTTTTCCCATCAAAACTAATTTGGTTATCTCCCGACTTTCCGGTGAACAAATACCGCGTTGGCGCGTTTTGTTCTCCCAGAAATGGATTTGTGATGAATTCAAAATTGACAGTTTGTTGGGAAATGCCGTCGATGTATAAATAAGCTATTTTTTGTGTATAACTTCTATTACTAGAAATCCACGGCTTTTGGTCGATCACTGAAAAAATCAAAAGTGCGTTTTGTGCAACGTAAAAATTCGGTTGTTTCCCCAAATCGACATTTTCGCGACATTTAAATTCGTTTTGGTCACACGCAAAAACGATTTGCAGATCCTTTGGGCGGGTTTCTTCGTCAAAGTATAAAAGGGTGGAACTGGAACTCACTTTCACATATAAAACAGTTATAAGAGGGTTTTGGAAATAAAAGTTAATTGATTTTTGGTCATTTGATGTGTCTTCAAATGTTATAGCCCCTGTTATAGCCATAGTATTTGTAAGTAAAAAATCATATTTATTCAAATTTATTTTAACGCTCCACCCATTTTGAGTACAAGAGGTGTTATTTGTGTATAGAATAGTCGATCCAAGTTCACACCATTGATTGGAATTAACAAAATATGTTAAAAATATGAGAGAAATTAAGATCGACACACTTTTCATATTATGTGATTTAGAGTTGTTCTGTAAAATTATAAAAATAGTATTTAGTAACTATAAAACATTGAAAAGAGTTAATTATTTTAATAAAATTCATTGTTGTGAATTTTTTGTGTTTTTTTCTAAAAAGCGTAAAATATATTTCAAGCTAGATAGAAATTTACTATTTTAATAATTAATATTTACTATTTGTTTTATTATTCTAGTAAATGTTAGTAAAATTGGGGTAATAATTCATAAAAAAAATATTGATAATTAATTAAAAAATAGTATTGAATAGTTCATTTTTTCACTTTTCTATTTTTTTTATTAAATATAGTAATAATATAATATTTTTTAGTAAATAAATAGAATATCATTTTAAACAAAAAAAAATAAAAAAAACCGCCTTGGAAAATATGAATTATTCGTTTGACGCAAAACTAAATAATGATATAAAGTTTTGTTAGTAAATATTAGTAAATATTGTAATATTTTTGTTATTAAAACAATTTTTTTATATTTTATTATTTAAATAGATATTTTACTAAGTTATAAATATGTAAATTAATAATAAATTAATAATTATAACAATTTTTGTATTATAGAATCGAAACCATTTTTTTAATTTAAAATATTAAAAAAATAAACAAAACAATCATACAATTAAACACCATTTCTTCTTGTTTTTTGTGAGTTCTTCCAACTCGTTCACCTCCATCACCTCTCCTGTGTTGTTTTGAACCAATTTTGTCTGTTGAGGGTTTTCAGATGTTTCAGTCTGTCTTGTTACCTTCTCTCGCTTCGTTTCGCGTTTCTCAATCACACAATGTTCTCTTTTTGTTATTATGATTATAGTTTCATTAACTATTTTTCTGGCTCACATCAGAATTTAATATTTATAACTTTAATATAATAAATGTGTTGTGTTGAATTTAAATAAGATTTTTATCAATTCTTTTGTGTTGTAATGTATATTATTGACAATTTCTTCTTTTTATTACAAATAATTTAAAGAAGTAGTTTTAGATAAATCAACACAATGAAACGAAATAACATTCCTTTCAAAAATTGTTATTTCATTCTTTTTTTTATTATTTGTATAATAATAATAATAAATTTATTATAACTAATAATATAAATAAATAGTAAAAATAATAAGAAACAAACAAGAAGTCTGGTGTAAATTCATTGAAATAAATGTCATACACAAATTCATTAAACTTTGTGTTAATTTCATCGACTCTTTCTGGGTTAAAAGCCACCACAGGGGGTTCTTTATTTTGAAAAAAACGTGCAAAACTACCAACATCAGTGTCATCGACTTGACATGTTTTTTCGGTATTGTACTTCCCCATTCCGACAATGAAATATCTCGTCGATTTGAGATTGCAATACCTCAACGTTTCATTATACCAATTCATCAAATTAGAAAATGTTATTTTATCAGTGTAATCAAAGCATAGAACAGCGCCTAAAACATTATAGTAAGGGGAATAACTTGCGCCACGACCTACACCATGGTCGTAGGAATATAATTTGACTTGTATATTATTTACTTCACTCAGATTTATAACTTTCGGTGGACAGTCATCGTATAAATAATCTTCCCATTCCTTGTCCCAACCTTGCTATTCCGTCACTTCAATCTCTTTCCATTGTTTCGTCTAACCATGTTTTTACTAATATTTTATAACTCCGTTACTAGTAATATGGTATTCCTCAAGTTGTCAATTTTAAAGTGAGATACTAGTTATGTATAACATTTTTATTATTATTTTATTCAAAAAACAAACAGTCAGTCCGACCATGAGTTGACGACAATAATGCGAAATGGACTTGTCGCCCAAAACAATAATTTTAAGTGTGACATTCGTTTTGCCATCAACCAATGTGACAAGTAATTTTTTGCAATCAATTCGGGAATTTTGGCAACTAACGGTTGTCTTCGGCGTGCTGATGCATTGCGACATGTGTTGGCGTTCCTCCATCACTCGTTTTTTCTCTTTCTTTTCGTTTCTGCAAATCAGTGATTTACTATATTTATTTAGTAAAACAATTATAATATTTACTTTCTCATAATCAACTACTTATAAATAGTAAAATAATTATAATTGGATAATAAGATAAATAACAAAAAAACAAACAGTACATCATCAGATAATTCGCATTGTCGAATGTCAATATAAATCGCCTCCAAAAGTGCAGGAAAATCGTTTGCTGTTCTTTTGTTATAGTAAAAGAAGTTAACCTTTTGGTCTTTCTTTAAAATGTCCTAGTTGTGAATAACATTTTAATAAAATTGTTATATATAACAATTTGAATAACACAAATTGATAACCAAAGAACACACGTCTATCTGCCTTGGTGGCTTCTGCGGTGGGGAGTTGTTGTTATAAACGCCCACAACTATGACTTTGAGTGTGGGGTTACCAGAGTATCTTCGGCCCTCCTCTATCCAGTTCTGTACATTTGATGTTGTGTTTTTGTTTGCCGCATCATACATCACACATAAGACGTTTAATTGTTTAAAAGGAAAGTACCCCCCCTCACGACTAACTCCGTTGTCATACGACGCAAAGACAAGCTTACCCAACTTCTCTTTGATTGTGACTTGTTGCACGAGCTGTCTGTCAGTTTGTGTGTTGATTTTTGTGGTTTTTGTTACTATAAGTAATAATTAACATGTGCAAATACAAATATGGTTCATTTATTTTTTAATTTACTATTGTTATACCACTGGCTCTATTTTCAATATTTACATATAATAAAACTAAACTATCAAAGTATTAGTATTAAATACTATTTATTATAACTACAAAAGAGACGTATTAAAATATACTAATAATAAACTATATTAATTTACATACAATATATATGAGATATCTGGCAACTATGTGAAGAAGAAGTAAAACGCAAACTTCAGGAGGGTATGTCTGTGGGAGTGGAGCGTCTTTGTCTCTTTTCTGTTTGTGAGGAAGTTGTGTGGTTTCAAATTATGACATTTTAAAAAGAAAAAACAAACAAAAGTCTTCCAAAGAAGTGCTAGACGTTGCTTTGAAGTCACTTCATCACCTATAAAAAGAACACGAATTGCATATTCGTAATCTTTTTCTGAGACAATCGATGTCCCAAACACCACTAAAGACATATTTTTGATTTTTTAGTTTGTCAATTGTTAATTGTAGTTTGTTAAGTTTAAAACAATGGAGTTTTATTTAACGTTTTGAATTTAATTAATATATTGTTAAATCAACAAAATAGTATTTAATGAAAAAAAACAACATAACGTTAATTTTCAGTTCAGTTAATTCAATTAATTGTTTTTAATTAATACGTTAAATAAGTTTGAGTTTTTATAATAATATATGTTAATTGTTTTTTGATTATTTTAAATGTTTTTTTATGAAATTTTTGGGTTTAAAATTATTTGTTAATTGTATTATTAAAATAAATAATGGTATAATTTACTAATATTATTTATCAAATATCTAATATATATGTATAATACATTTTACTACACAAAATTAATAGTTTTTATGATCTTTTTTTTTCCATTTGATATTGTAATTTGTATTATATTAATTGTTATATTTTTTTGTAAATAAAACCATTGATTTATAATATTTAAACTAATATATCACTAAAAACCAACTTTTCTTTGATCCGAAAACATGAAATAATAAATTTTGATGCCCCTGTTTTTTTATGACCATTCATTTGTAATTAATATAGTTATAAAAGAAACACATTTGCATTTAGGGCTTTAATAAATGTATTTATTGTCAACAAAACGGAGAACAATTTTATGTACTTGCATCAACTAAAGACTTATGCTTATAATAAAGAACAGTAAATGTGAAACAATGCATGTTTTCACCCAGAACATATTATTATAGAAATGTTATTAAGAATTTGAATGACATAATATAAAATAATTACTTTTAAATATAAAAAATATTTATATGAAAAAACAAACTCGATTCAATTTAAAATTTCATTTGTTGCTTATCTTATTTTATCTGTTTTAAAATAATACAAAAATTTATTCAAAACACTATATATTATTTCAAAACAATAAATGATAATTTTGGGACATATATTTTTTTAAGACAAACCTGTATATATATATAAATTATATAATTTACAATGCAACAAAAATATGTGTAACAGAACTGGTCTGATTAAGGTTACAAAAAAACAATTTTTATTAAATAAAAATTCGGTTGTTGTGAAAATGTTCTGATTGTTATGAAAGAGATTGTACATTTAATCAATTTTTAAATTACTTGGCAATTAATGTTTAATCAGTAATTAAAACACTTGTTATTATTAATATTATTGTAAATGATAAAAAAGAGTATCATAAAAATAATGTTTAATAAATGGCTTGTGTTTCAATGAGTTTTTTTCTCTATAAAATCTTATCTTTCTAGTTTATTTAAAATTATTTAATTTGTACTACTAACGATTTATATAAATAATTTATTACTGAAACCATCAGAATATTTTATTTTTATTGAAAAAAATCTCAATGTAACTTTTGACTTCCGAAAAATGTTATTATTAATTGGTGTTGATTCTAAGGAGAATTTTTTTTAAAAAATTGTTTTTTTATTATTTATTGTTTATAAAATTATTGTCTCAAAAGTGACATTCACAAAAAATAGTGGTTAACCTTATTATTATTATTATTATTATTATAATTTATTATTGTTAATGTAATAAGACAAAAAAAATATGGAAATTAGTAATCGAATTTGTTTTAACAAAATTAAAAAAGAGAGGGGTATGATAACTTTCCACATTAACAAAATATTAAAATAAAATAGTATTTTTTCTTTTTTCGTTAAAATTTTTAATAATTTTTCGTTTTTTATAAACTAAAACTAAAACTTAACCATAATTAAACGATGTTTTAAGCAATAAAAACAAAAACGAAAATTTTAATTTTGAAAAGACAATTTGTCAAAGTGATTCGAAAGCTCAATAAAAAAAAACTAATAAGAACAATTAAATTTACCATATTCGATAGTAAACTTTACTTCTCAAAACGAGATTTTGACTTCCGTAGGATTTAAAATGGCGGAACGAACTCAATACATATTGAATTAAATGGTCAAGTTAGTCTACTCGAATTCCTTTCTTCGTAACTTCGCAGACAAGAATGAATACCTTGGTATTACTGAGTTGAATGACAATGAATGTTTATCACTTCATCCCTCTTCAGAGTCGGATTCACCACATGGAAATGAAGAGTTAACTCCTTTCGACACCACGCCTTATCTCATTGAGTCCCTTCTCGACTAATTGTATCTTTAACTATTTTGGTTTTTAAAATGGTTTATTTTAATTTAAATATAGTTTATTTTTTATTAATTATAATGTATAATAAATTGTTTTATATGAATAGTACATTGTTAATAATAAATAATTAATTAAAATACTATGTTTGAATTGTAAATTAGAAATTTGGATAAAATATTATATATTTTTATATTTAAAAAAATATTATAAAAATATAATATGTATTACAAATTTAATAGTAAGAACTAAAAGAACTAATTTGTTAGTAAAATATAAAAATATTATTATAAAATTTATTAACAAATAATTTATTTAATTTAATATAATAAAGATATAGTATAATAAATTATAAATAACAAATTTTTAATAATAAAATAAAAAAAATAAATAGTTCACACATTATTTTTAAAATATTTTTTTCAAATTAATTTGTAATTGTCAAGTAATTATAATATATTAATTCTATGATTAACTAATTTATTAATAACAAAAAAAATAATTCAAGAACTTTTTTCCAAAACGAATGTCAATCTCACAACCGACCCTGAAACTTCGTCACCCTTTTTATGTCATTCACAAAGACGCTGGAGTAGAAGTTCACACGCCGACTAATTCCCACATTTTTCCCACATCTCAAAATTGTTTAGTTGAAGAAAGTCAAGAACTCATAATTCTTCAAAACGCCTCGACTCTCGAAATTTATGATTACAACTTAACTAAAAAGTACGATCTTAAGATTGAATATATTGACCGTCTCACATTGTCAAAAAAATATCTCCACATTCTTCAAGTTCCACCAGCTTCAAATAAAGAGGGTTTTGTTCGGGAACCGACAATGTATTATCTCTTAGATCTCAAAAAAGATTGTTATAATCTCATCTTTTCACGCAAATTACAGAGCATCCCGTCGGCTTGGCCAATTTGCTCCTTTAAAAACAATATTATCGCACTCCCAGATCAATCTGGCGTGTCATATTTTAATTATAACCCTTTCCTTAAAACGGAATTTACTAAAACTCAAGTCAACACATCACAAATCGATCACGATGACTTGATCGGGGTCAAATTCATCGAATTCTCACCTATATCGGACGATTTGCTCTTCGCCGCATTTTTCCCTGAAAAACAAGTTTGTACATTTTACTATTTAATAATAATTTATTTACTATACATTTTATTATCATTATTTTGTGAAGTTATTGTGCTTGTATTATTATTATGATTTGTATTAATAATTGAAATAATTTATTTATTATAATTATAATATTAACTTATGCCTTGTTTAAACTATTATTAAATTGTTACTTAATTATAAATGGTATAGTATAAGTTACATTTTTTATTAAATTAATGAAAAAGTATGAATTTACAATAGTTTTTAATACAATTTTTTCCAAATTTTAGAAATCCTGTATTAAAAGATATAGTAAACATTTCGTTTAAAAATGGCAATTATGCTTTGCACTTTAATTAACAAATTATAGTTAAATTATTAATAAATATTAATAAATCAGCGATTTCCCGCTTCCATCGAGTTGTACTCAAAACAAATTGGCAAAAAGGCGCAATTAATTAACACGATCTCCTCATTGAACGGGACTTCAGTGATATTCAAATGGTGTCCGATGGGGCATTTAGTGCTTGCTATAACATCGACAGAGTTTGATGAAACGGGGCATTCGTATTATGGTCAATCTTCCCTCTATTCACTATTTGTTCCTAACATTTCGGGAAAACCGCCACAATTTGTCCCTAATCCCAAAGTTTTCAAAAGCCCGACGAATAACATATACACACGAGCGTTAGTAATGGCGCAGTATCAAGACGCACAATTCTCCCCATCCGGAGACACATTGAGTATCATCAGTGGCCTTCAGCCAGCTGAGGTGTCGGTCTTGTCGACATTGAGTTTTGACGAACTTTTTCATCGTCAAAACGTCTTTGCGAATTCCTCAATTTTTTCGTTCAACTCACAATTTCTTGCAATTGGAGGATTTGGGAATCTTCCTGGTGACGTGGAGATTTTTGAAACAAAAAGTTTTTTGAGAGTTGCGAAATTTTCGTCACAGTGCACAACAGAGTGGATGTGGAGCAACGACAACGCCTCAATTATTTGCGCCCACTGCTGGCCAAGAAGACATTTTGACAACAAGATTGAAAGATTCGGAATAGATGGGGAACTGATTGAAAAAATTGAAGTTGTGCCAAGAGGAATTACCGTGTTTGGGGAAAAGGAAATGAGAGATTTGGTGTTCAAATTCATCGAGTATAAGGACGAGGGTGCAATCTACGTTACACCAAAGAAGAAATAATGGAATGGGATTGAAAGGTGAAATACTAGAAAATTTAGTTGTTTTACTATTTATTAGTGTTTTATTCTTTATTGGATTATAATAAGATATTAATAACTTTAATTATTAAACAAGTAAGTGATGGGGAGATCTTACATGTGTTCTTTGAGGATCTTTGATCGTTTTAATTGTTTCACCGACTTTATAATCATTGAGTTTGTATGTAAAAATAGTTAAATAAAACTACTACTAAATTTCATTTATAAGTTAACTTATTTTTTTATCATTTAAAAAAAAGAATATTCAAACATTAACACTCTTTATTTTAATTTAAAAAAGATGGTCTATTATTCACAAATTTCAATCTCGTCTCTCATCACGTTGTTTACAAAACGAAATTGAGATTGATGATTCTAAAGAGAAGATTTTCTATGTATAATTTGTTTTAGTACATATAAATCTTTCTTTGTACTAAAACATATACAGTTGGTCCATTAAACCTTCGCTTAGGAAATTAACCTGAGCTCAAAGAAAAATTAAATATTTTCTATTGTTATATTAAATTAATAAACTATACCAATATAAAAGTCAATTTTTTAAAATATTTGTTTTTTTTTAAGTAAAAACCCGTGTTTTTAAAGAAAAAAATAGGAATTTCTTTGGGCTAAAGTACATTTTTTGGGCTAAGGTTCATTTTCCCTTCTGTAGTTTAAAAGTGACTCAAATAGTATTTAATACATCAAATATTTATTTATAATTAAAAAAACATTTAAATTAGTTATTCAAACTATACAAGTTAATATTTAAAACTTACTCTATTTTTATATTAGAGCGGAATTTTTTTATTTAATCAAATGTAAGTCGATCATCATTTGTTGCTCTAATATAAAGTTATTGTTTTTTAATTAATTATTTTTATTACAATTTACTTATATAAACTTTCGATTTTTGTATCGGTGAAAACCAAAAAAAACTTGAACAAAAAAATACTTCACACCCCACATTAAAACTCCAATGCAAGTAAAAACACCAAGACCGGTTGCGCCATTTAGAAAACAACAAGAGACTATTCGGCAACAACACAGTGCCCCTCCATCACTTCCTAAACGGTCGCAACAACTTGTTGAACAACAAATATCCGACCCACAATGTGACAAATTGTCGAGATCTGAAAATTATGAAAAAACGGATACGACCGAAAGTTTTGAAAAACTAGAAAAAAAACCACGGGCACTTCCTTCACTTCCCGCAAAGGTAAATACAGACAAACTCTCGAAATTGATAACCAAAGGGTTTAAAGAACAACAAGAACGTTTTGACAAAACATCACCAAAAACACCGGAACGCCAAGAAAACGTAAAAATTGACAAACAAGACGAAACACAACCAATTAAAAATCCAACAAACCCTAAAATCGCTCTGAAACTTCCAGAAACCCCCGAAAATCTTCCAAAAAGTGAAAAACAAGAAAAACTTGAAAAAGTTTTGTCGCAAGGTTTTTGCGACAAAAATGTGTCAAAACCTGAAAAAAAATCCACGAAATCGCAACTTCCAGAAACGCAAGAAAAACTTGAGAAAATTTTGTCACAAAGTCTTTGCGACAAAAATTCCACTGAAAATTACGAAAAGAAAAACAATTCCAATTATTGCGGTAAAATTGTGTTAAAAACTGAAAAAAATATGACAAAACAAGAGAAACCGAAAGTGGTACGGGACTCTTCATTTCCATTTTTAGATTTTACAATAAAACGAGAGAAAGATCCAGAAAAATATCGCCAGTCGGTTTATAGTCGTGAGAACACTATTGTTTATACCGCACAAAATGTAAAAATAATACCATCAAATCATTTTATCGTCGAAGGGGATTTCTTCGTTGTTTTAAAGTCCGAACATTTCTTCCTTCGCTTTTCCCCTAATCTCATTAAACCAACTTTCGACTCCGTTTTGAACTTCTTTAAAAAGGCGGAGATCCCAGAAATAGACTTGGACGAGTATAAGATGGTCTGTTGCCTCACAGAGATCTCAAAAATATTAAGAGGAAAAGATGCACAACAAAAACACGACTTTGTCACGTTAGTACCTGCTCGAGTGCTGCCGTTTGTGATTCCTAAGTACTTCTTTTTGTCGCAAGATGTCGACCGTCTTGTAGATCTCATAAAAGAAATCATTTTTGTGAAAACCGAAAATGACGAATTGGTCCTCACCACGTCGTTCCTCCCAAAACATTTTAATGAAAAACAAACAGAAACATTTCAGTATATGGCAAAAGTCAATGCGGACGAAAGAACTTTAAAACGAAGAAATCAGTGGAAACAAAAACGATTTGAAACCGCAAAAAAGGAAATCGCAAAGAAAAATCCCGTTTTGGAAAAAGACGAGAAAATCCAAAAAAACTTTTTTGACGAAATGAAAAGGGCGGGATTGTTTGAAAATGAGCCTTCAGTGACATCAGATATGCCTAAGATTTTTCAGACAAATGACGAGATTGTTTTGGGGAAGATTTTGGCAAAAATTCGGGAGATTGAAATTGGTGGAAAGAAGGAAATAATTGAACCTGAATACAACCAGAACCTTGAAAATGTTGACAGATCAGCACAATCTATGGACGAAATGGTTCGGACGCGTCTTGTGTTGTTTGGTTCATCCAACGAGGCGCGTTGGGAATCTTGGAAATTTTGTTTTGGGTTGTCAAATTCGCCTGTTTCGATCTCAAAAATGACTGAAGAATATACACAATTAAATTTGATTATATCTTTGATCCTTCCAGTCCAATTGTCAAATTGGTCTGTACTCTCAACTACCATCGATCAAATTGATAAAGATTTAAAACGTGTAGACTACACTTCCCTTACCAAAATTTGGGGACAAGACGCAAAACCAGTTCTTCGACGATTATTATTGGCTTATAGTATATATAACTATAATATAGGATATGTCCAAGGCGAAGTTTGTTAGTTATTTTATTATTATTTTTACTATATTTAAATAATCTAACATTAATACTATTTATTATAGTTTTTTGGTTTATATATATTAAATATTAAATATTAATTATAATTAATTCAATTTGTTGATACTATTTAAACTATATTAATAATAATTTTATTATTATGTTAATTTTTGAAAAATTTTGAATTTTTATTTTTCGTTGTATTAACACGTTTTATTTATTTATAGTATGATATAGTATAAATTGTATAATTTAAAATTAACTGTATTTAATTATTTATATAATACATTGTTTTAAATATTTTTTGTAGTTGTTATAGTTTATTATTAATATTTTTTTAAATAATAATAATAATTACCCAAAATAGTAATTATAATAATAGTAATAGTAATAAATAGCATGACATTGTGATTGGTTTGATGGAGATTGGTCGGAACGAGGTTGAGATTTTTTACGTTTTTTCGAAAGTGATGGAAATGGTGGAACGCGAGTTTGAGTGCCCGAAAAGTGCCGAGTTTGACCGGCGATTAATGCCGATAATATCCTATTTAGATGACGAGCTTGGCAAATATTTACATGATAAAAACATTTCGATGTATTTTGTGTATCAGTGGCTTGCGTTGCTTTTTAAACGGGATTTTGGTGGTGAAATCTATGAACTGTGGGATGCTATTTTTGCATATCCCAAACATAAGTTGCAGTATTTTATTACTGCAATTATTATTGAAGAACAAAGGGAACATATTTTAGGAAATTTACTTGGATTTGATGAGATGAGTATGTTCTTTCAATGTTTAAGTGGATTATTTAAGGTTGATGTTAAAATAGAGGCAGACCAATTATACTACAATTTCATTGAAAACGCACCAAAGGAAGAGGTGCAGAAAGTGTTTTGTTAATTCAAATTCAGACTTCTTCTGTTTGTTCATTCCTCACACATCAATCTGATACTCTAACTATATTTTATTTATTAATTTACTATTAATTATAGTTGTTTTGTTTCCACCACTTTTGTCTTTTTATTTGATAAATTATTAAATTATAATAAGATTATTAGAATAAAATCAATCTAAAAACTTTATTAATTACTTTTAGATATTTAAAGTAATTGGTGAAATTATTTTATTATTATTTATGTTATTAATTGTGTTATTAGTTATATCGTTTAAAATGTAGTTATTTATTTATATTTATAATATCATAGTTTGGGCTTTTTTTTTCTGAAAGTTAGTAACAGTTTCATCTAAAAAAAAAAAGAAAAATAAATTGTTTTTCAATTTAATAAAAAAACCATATATTTTTATAAATAGTTTTGAGTGTTTTGTTATGAAAAATTAATTAATTATTTTTTAACTATTGAAATATACTATATTTGAATTAAAAAAAATAAATTAAGATTAGCTTTTTCCACCACTTTAACCAAAATAAAATATTTGCCGCGAATGTTATTTTAAGTAAGTCCACCATTTGGTTACTGTTTGTGCATCCACATGTCATTCACTTTCTTTTTCCATATTATTTTACCGCTCCAAATATGGATATGAAAAATAAATGGAATGTGTACATAAACAGACTGTTTGGGTGCATTTTAATGAGTCTTCTTTTCAAATCACCGTCTTTTTTTTCACTCGGTGAATTATTGGCATTTCATTAATTGTAAAACCATTAAAAATATTTACTAAAATTTTCATTTACTATAATTTTAAATTGTATATAATTTAAAATAGTAAAAATTTTTTTATTTTTAGAGGCGATGGTCAATGGAAGTTTTTTATTAGAAGTTCTCAAAAATAAAAAATATAAACAATTTGTAAAGAAATACGAATAACTTTTCATTGTAGTATATAACTTCATTAATAAATAACTTCAATTCATAAAGTTAAATGCCAATATATAAACAGAACAAGTATTAACATTACAACAGTTTTTAATGAGAATTTTACTTATCACAGCACTTCTTTCTTTGTGTCTTGCTTTTGAAGATTCTCAAAACATCCCACCAAAACCAAATATCGCTCATAGTTGTCAAAAACAAGAACCTTCTTTAGTGGATATGCTCAAAATGTTAATTAAAAACGACCCATCACTCTTAGAAACTGGTGTGAAGAGTGTTATAAATAAAATGGCCCAAGATTCAATTAAAGACCTCATGCAAGGAAATAAAAAACGGGCTGGGGAAGATCCTTTTGGTGAATATGTCAAAACTGCAGTTGTCAAAATAATGCTGGAACAAGCAAAAGCTCATCCTGAGGCTGTTGATGCTTCTTTGTTTAAACAAGGTCAACCCAACAAGAACGCTCCTGATAACACTGATAAAAAATGAACAGTAATTTAATTGAATTGTTCTTTTTATTGATATTCAAATTATTTAGTTCTTTTCATGTCCACAATAAATAAAAAAATAATGTTATTAAACTGTATTAATAATATTAATTTTAAATAATTAAAATTATAGTACACTTTGTAAAATGGTTTTGATTTATTAAATATTTTTTAACTACCCCAAATACAGTCAATATTCGATATAAGGATTTATTCGATATAGGAGAAAAATAAGAGGAAGCCCTTATATCGAATAATAACTGTACTATTTTTAATCCTTTTACGAAAGTTGAAAACAAAACTATTTTCTTATAAAAATTCAAAGAAAAAACGTGTTGGTTACACTCAACATTCAATAAAATAAGAATAAAAAATAAGAAATAAATAGTTTTTGTGTTTCAAAAACTGTATCATGTAAATTATCAGAGATTCAACACTATTAAAGTAATTCTAGATTTTACTATACCTCGAGATGTGGTGATCAAATCCTTATTTTAGACTCATATAAAGTCCTATTATAAGTATATTACTAGGTTTTTGTTATGTTCGATTCCGAGGTATAAAATCTACACAATTAAACTTCTTTTTTTTAGTATTCTTTTTGTACTTCTTTCTTTTAAATAAGCTGTTATTTTTCCTCTTCACCTTAAAAAAAAGAAGTACAAAAAGAATATTTTACTAAAAAAAACGAATTGTATTGTTTTAAGAATATCTTCTAAGTTAATAATCCCAGAAATCCTTTTCTGAGGAAAAGCCGCAAAAATCCATACTTCTATTTTATCGGAAATTTTTGTTTTTACTATCTTATGTTTAAAACAGTAAATAACAAAAAATAATAAATTCTCTTACCTATAAAAATCACCATAAAAAGAAAATATCTTCAAAACAATCAACAAAACTTAAAAATTCGTTTCTGGTTTTCAACCAAAACTTTTCCTTCTCATACGAATACTCAACCCATACGAATAGTTACTTTTATTATTAGTTACTACTATTTTTCGTTTGTTTTACTCGACCTTTTGCCAAAAAAAAGTTTTCAAACAATTGTTGTTGGAAAAAGAGGAGGGATGTTTAAAAAGCCCATTTCAATCTTTAAATTGAAATGTCGACTTACTCGCGAGCCAAAACGACTATTCTCACGCAATCTTCGCCTTCTTTGGACCCTGAGGCAATCAAACCGTCATTAACTGATCGGTTCAAGAGCCAGCATTTCTCCCCATTTGTGTCTCTATCAAATTTAAAAAACAGTTTTAAAAAGGAGAAGACTTCAATCTCCTCTTCAGAAAACAGTGAATCAAATCTTCCAGATAATAAAATTAAGAGAAACAGTTCAGATTATGACGTGACTCTCAAAAAATCTCAAAAGATGTCGCAAAAGAGAAAAATGACAACAATGGAAGTCGAGCCAAAATTCAATAAATTGGAAAAGGTCGAGACTTCTCACACACAACAAAAAAATGAAATCACAAAACTCACTCCCTCACAAACTACTTTCGTCAAGCCTAAAGTACCTCCACTCCTCCTCAGAAGTGAAAATTTGGAAAACTCAAAAATGTCGTCCGGCGCTAAAACAGATAGACCAGCAAGTTCTATTGGCTCTCATGCCGCTTCTTCTCTGTCTTTCTCGTCTTTCACGGCACACACAAGATCGTCTCTCATTATCCAAGACACCTTTGCCTCGAGGGAGTCTAGCCCACCAACTACAACTCCTTGGTCTAACTTATTGCCAGTCCACGCCAGACTCTCAAACTTCAAATTCGAAGAAGTGAAGCGCTTGAAGATCGGCGGGATGACTTCTCGAAGTCGTTTCGAGTCAAACGTGAAGGGTGTGAAAGTCCCATTAATAAAGTACCCCGAGATCGCAGAGTCGGACGCCTTTGAGTGTGGCGACGAAACCATTTTTGAAACTGACAAGCGATACAACAGATGTACCTTCATTGTCGGATTCTCTTGCTTGAAACCCGCCAGAAAAAAAGAGGTGGCTATCAACTCTTTCGCCACAGATGGAGATGTGGTCTGTTTTATGGCTTAGTGCTGTATCCTATACTATATTACTAATTATATTATTACTTTTCGTTCAGTTTCTAACAAAGGAATACACTTCCTTTGCTAAAAACCAACAACACAACAGTCACTTACTCATCTTCATTCCCTTCTTCGCTCTCTTCCTTCCTCTGGTTTCTCTTTTTGCTTCTCCTGTCGGACTTCTTCTTCCTTTTCGTTTCGACTATTTCTTTATCCTTGTCCTTCTCTTTGTCTTTTCGCGGTTTCGTCTCCTTTTTCTCAACAACTTTAGCTTCCACTGCTTTAGTCCTTCTTGGGACTTTATCAAAGTCCTCGTCGTCGATGAATTCATCGTCCTTTTCATACCCAAATCGAGTTTGTTTTTTCGACTGGACAAATATCTTCTGCTGCAGACTGTCGAGTGTGTCCGTATAGACATTTTTCTTCATTTTTGCTTTATTTTCCGCGTGTTCCAACTCCTTTTCCGCATTCAATTCTTCCGCCTTTCCAGTCAAATCTTCTTCTTTGTTGTTCTCAGTGGTTTCTTCTGTCGTTTTTCCTTCGTCAGAGTCATTGCTGTTGGCTTCCACGTTTGTTTCAGCAACTTCCTTCCTGATGACCTCTTTCCAGTTTTCACCATACATCTCTTTGTTCTTCGACTCTAGCCACTCAGTAAATGGCTTGTCAGGGTTGAAAACATTACTCCCTTCTTTTAACACAAAAGTGGTTGTAAAGATGTCAGTGTCAAGCTGTTGGAGTTCGTCAATATCAACCGCCTCTGTGTCTGTTTCTTCACTTTCTTCCTCCATTTTTTTGGCTTCTTCTGTCTTCTCGTTCCAATGGGTTTCAATCTCTCTCTCATTTTGTTCATTGCTCGTTCCATCTTCGTTTTCTTTTTTATTTTCTTTTTTTACTTCTTCTTTTTTATCTTCCTCTTTTTGTTCATCTTTTTGTTCACTTTTGTTATTTTCGGTATTTGTTTCTTTTTTATCTTCTTTTTCTTCCTTTTTTCCGGGTTCTTCCTCCATTTTAGAACTAGTTGTTTCTTCAACTTGAGTTTTTATTTCCAAGATCATCGATGGCGGAATGAGCGGTTCATCTGTTTTTTTTATTTCCTCATTCGTGGGTTGTGTTTCAATCTCTTTCACCTTTTGTTCATTGCTCGTTCCACCACAATTTTCTTTTTCTTCATTTTCCTCTTTTTTTTCGTCTTTTTGTTCACTTTTTTTATTTTCTATATTTTTTTCTTCACATTTAACTTCGACTTTTTCATCAACCAAAGTTTCAGTTTTTTCGGTTTTTTCAATTTTTTGTTCAATTGGTAACTGTTTCTCCGTTTGTGTTAAAAGTGGCGACTGTTTTCCATTATTTTCATTTTGTTCTTTTTTGATTTCCAAGATCTGAACTGTCGGAATAAGCGGGGTGTCTTCTTTTGTTTTTTTCGGGGATTTTCCAAACCTCAATTTGGGGGTTATAGCTTTTTCAACTTTCTCTTTTTTGGCTTTTTTCGTCCGTTTTTTTCTTGTTTTTTTTCCTACATGTTTTTCTTCTTTTTCCTCAGTTGTTTCTTGTGTTGGTTGTTCTTCAAAATTTTTTTCTATTGTAATTTTGAGTTCTTTAGTCACATGAATAACATTTTCGTTTTTGTTGTTGTTTTGTTTTTTGTTTGGTATTTCTTTTTTTTCTCTTTTTTGTTGATCAACAACGTTGAGATGATTTGTTATTTGTTGTGCCGAAGTGTTGTCTAAATTTCCCAAACCCGCAATCACTTTTGTAGTTTCTACATTTTCGCAATTTTCGTTTCGGATCTCGAAATTTGGTGGAACGATAGTAGATGGTATATTATTTTGTTTAGGAAATGATGAAACGGCATTTTGGTATTCAGTTTGTAGACCTGTAGAAATTTGTGTGAATATCTCTGGCTGTTTAAAAGATTCGTTTTGGACAGCCTGGATGTTTCCTTCAGAATTCATAAAGTGTTGAAAAGGAAGTGGATTCGATGTTGGTGAAAATTTTGGACCATTTAATACTGAAATTTCGGGAATTGATGAGTATAGTTCTTGGCTCACTCGTTTTTTAGTTGTCAAAGAGTCTGTCAAGTCACAATCTCGTTTGCGATCAATAAAACTATCTTCGTTTTGGGTAGGATAGTTTTCCATTAACTATTATTTAGTTTTGGTTGTAAATAATTTTTTTTTCAATATTTTATTATACAATTTCATATAGTTAAATTAGTTTTAGTCGATATAAAAATATAATTAATAAACTAAAATATTTTGTTTACATTTTTTATAATATGTATTCAAACAAACTATTATGAATCGGGGCAGACCTTTCCCACCCTCACCCCGTTTACCAAAATAAAATATTTGCCGCGAGTGTTTTTTGAAGGAAGTCCACTTTTCAGCCACTGTTTGTGCGTCCCCATGTCGCCCACTTTCCTTGTCCGTACTGTGTGGACGCGGATGGTTCCCCCCCGCTTGCGGGGGGGTCAGGGGGGATCCGCGCCAAGGGAGGACTTGGAAAGTGGGTGAACGGTGCACAAACAGACTGTTTGAGTGTGTCTTCAGAGCCTTCTTTTCAATGCTCCGTCTCACTCGGTTTCCACTGACTCGAGGTGATTTTTCGGCATTTCTTGAATTCGGGAACCAGACCTAATATTATCCAAAACGCCCATTTACTATAATTATAATTATAATTATAATTATAATTATAATTATAATTATAAAATTATAAAATATAGTAAATTAATTCTATATTTAGACGGGGTGAGGGTGGGAAAGGTCTGCCCCATTATGAATCTAATAATTTTGATATTTTGAGTTTATCACAAATATCAAATTACATTTCATTCAATTTTTTTAAAATTTTTTGTTATAGTTATTTTTAATACAAGATACTTACTATTTAATTATAAAAAAATAAAAATAAAATTATTTATTTAAAAATATTATAATAAAGTTTATAATAAAATATAATACATATCAGAAATCAATAAATTATTATAATTATAATAATATTATGGTACAATAACAATAATCCAAAAAAAAAATGACTTCTCGAACGATTCGAATTTCTCAAAAATTCAAAATGCACTTTTTTGAAAATAGTAAAGATGCAGTAAATGGACCTTTACAAATTAGCAAATCAAAATAAGGAAATCTATTCCAAGTTTTTTTCTTTGTAAAACATTATCAATAAAAATGAACTAATAAATCGGGCACTTTTTAAATTAAAAATTAAACAAATTCTTTCCAAAAAAAAAATATTATTTTTTTGCATCTTTTTGAAGACAAACTATTGTAAAAAAATTAATAATTTTTAAATAGTAAAAGAAATTAGACGAAAACACCTGTTCGAAGGATTTTTTAATTCTTTTTGAAATTCGATGGAGGAATTTTTGACCTTTACGGAATTTGTCAGATATAAAAGGCGCTAACTGGACTGCAATATTCACAATGAGCATCCAAGCCAAGTTAGACGCACTTATTAAGCCACATGGAGGCAAATTAGTGAAAACCCTGAAGTATGGAGCAGAGAAGGAGGACTTACTCAAAGCTGCTGAAACACTTCCCAAGCTTGACATATCATCTCGTGAATTTGGTGATTTAGTTATGATGGGTTTGTACTTTATTTGTATTATATATTATTTATTAAGATATGAAGTGTATCGAATATTTTGAGACTCCAGACACTACCATATGAATATATATAAACATATTTATATACAAACACATACACAGTGATCTACAAATTGTTACCAATAATTTATAACACATTCAATTACCTTCTATGGCTATTATTATATTCTCTAATATTCAAACCTTATTCAACTTACATATACACTGTCATTCAATATACAATAATAACTCTAATATAGTAATTATAGTAATATTACTAAAAACAATAATAACACAATAGGTATTGGAGGATTTTCCCCACTTGATGGTTTCATGAGTCGTGCTGACTGGTACAGTGTCTGCAAGAACTTTACCTTAGCGGACGGGACTTTTTGGCCTATTCCAATCACGATGTCTGTCTCTGAAGAAGATGCACGTAAGCTTCGCCGTGGACAAAAGGTCGCCTTATCTTACAAGAAAGATGTCCAGCCCATTTCTGGGACTATAGCAGTCGATGAAATTTATGAGATGACAAAGAAAGACAAAGAGATGGAGTGCAAGGACATCTTCACGACATTAGACAAAGATCATCCTGGTGTGAAGAAAGTGATGGAGCAGAAGCCCTTCAATGTTTCTGGTAAAGTGGTGACTTTATCTGAAGGGGAATTCCCGACGAAGTATGCCGGGATCTACATGACCCCTGAAGAGAGTCGTATGAACTTTGCGAAGAAAGGATGGAAGACAATCGCAGCACTTCAATTAAGAAATCCGATGCACAGAAGTCATGAGTTCTTAGCCAAAATAGCTGTAGAAGTCTGTGATGGAGTCTTCATTCATTCATTAGTTGGTAACTTGAAGCCTGGAGATATCCCTGCTGAAGTTAGAGTAAAGTGTATTGATGCTTTGGTAGACAAGTACTTTGTCAAGAAGAATGTCTTACAAGGAGGATATCCACTTGATATGAGATATGGTGGACCACGTGAAGCTTTACTTCATGCTACTTTCAGACAGAACTACGGATGCACTCATATGATCATTGGAAGAGATCACGCTGGTGTCGGTGACTATTATGGACCTTTTGATGCACAGAAGATCTTCGATAAGATCCCACAGAATAAAGACCCAAAGAAGAGATTACTCACTCAACCGATGAAAATCGATTGGACTTTCTATTGCCATAAATGCGACGGAATGGCATCTCTGAGAACTTGCCCTCATACTAAGAAGGACAGAGTCATTGTCTCGGGAACTATGGTCAGAAAGATGCTCTCTGAAGGGAAGAAATTGCCAGACCACTTCGGACGCGATGAGTCTCTTAAAATCTTGAGCGAATACTACCAACACCTCGATAAGAGCAAGAGAGTCACTATTAAACTCCAGAAGTTCGCTACCGGGTCGGCTATGAACTAAAAAACTTCGAATTTTTCTTGTTTTTTCAATCATTTTTTATCGCAAAAGTAATTTACAACAGGTAAATTTTTTATCGCATTGATTTCAGAATTTAATAAATTTGTGCTAATATCTTAGACATTGAAGAAAAATTCCAGCCTAAAACAAAATCAAATGAATAAGATTTGTATTATTATTATAGTAAATGTATAGTAAATATATAATAAAAGTATTAAATTGAATATTTGAAATACTGTATAGTTTAAAATGGTTTTGATAATAATAAAATAAATACCAAACATCAATAGAAAAAGACCAACATGACGCAACTTTTAAAAAAGAACTGACATTAGAAGGATAAAATAATATTGTATCAATGTGAATAGTAAAAAAATAGTAAAAAAGGAATATTTGTTGATTTAGATAAATGTATAAAGTGTGTCCATATAGTTATTATTTAGTTATACAACAAGTAATGTTTTGTTGATAAAGACAATTTGATTAATCACAAAATAACATTTTTATAATAGACTGAGTTAAAAAGAACAGACAATCGAATTCAATGAATTTAAAAACAGCTAGATTTTTGGATTTTTATAATAGTAAATTTTTTCTCAAAAACAATTGACATCTTTTTCATTGTTACCATTGACATTGATGTTGACGTTTATATTTATCAGATTGTATAATTATGTTGTTGTAGTTAAAGGTATACAATCATTAATTGTATACCTTTTCATTTATTTTCAATCTATGTTTAAAAACGTGTCATTGAATAACTGATGCAAACATTTGAAATACATATTGACTCCTTCTTCAAGTTTTTTTTTGCAAGAAATTCTGATATTTTTTCTCATATTACACTTAATTAAACAAATGTTATAATAAAATATATAAATGATATAATTAATAAATTGTTTGACGTATTACTTAAAAACTCTATTATTTAAAATTATAAAAAACTCGTTTTTTCTTCAGACTTTTGTTAATTTGGTTTGGTTTTTATTATCTCGACAATCATTATATTAAGTTCTAAAACCAATTCAATAATTTTTATTTTGTTGTTATTTCTAAAACACTGACACTATTTGCAAATGTCAGTGTTTTAGGCCTATTTCACAATAAAAAACATGAAATATGGCATGAAGAACATCATTAATAACGAGAATTAAAAACAATGTTGTTAAATGTCCTATCAAAGCCAAAATGTATCATCACACCCAACATTTTTAAATATTAAATGAATTTTGAACGACTATTTACATATAAATGGAACAATCAACACTTTGTAAGACACTTTATGATAAATTGAAAAAAGATGATGGGTCAGTCGAAGTAATACCTTTAATAGACGGAATCTTGGAGGAAGAGAGCAAGATCAACACCAACCAAACAGAAGAATATAAAAAGAAGGCAAAAGAGACATTGAAAGAGATAGCTTGCATATCACAAGGATATGAAGACAACAAAATTATGAATAAAAATGATGCACAAGATTTTGTGGGGTATGTCGATGCAGTTCGGACTTTTCAAAGTGCCAAGACTGAGTTGATGACACCACACTTCGGTTGTTTCTGTGATCCAAACATAATGCTGCGAAATTCGGACCTTATAAAGTTCTTAGATGGATGGATTGGGTTTGGAGAGAAGTACACGTTCAATAAAATTGATAAAGAACATAAAGGGTATATCACTGTCGACCAATTTGTTCACGCCAAAACGTTCCTTTGGAATAAAGAAGAGAAGAAGAGTCAAATAGAGGAATTGAGGATAAAGACAGAAGAAAAACAAAAAGAAAAAGGGGGCAAAATAACACTCGAGGACTTCATCAATTTAAGTGATTAATTTCCTATGACTTGTATTTGTTATACGTTTCGATTGTATTTTATAAATATAGGAGGTGGGTTTAAAACGAATGAATAAAGAAGTGATATAAGAAATGATAAATTAATTAAACAAATTAGTTGGCAGTGACGACTTCTTCTTTGAGTTCGTCTTCTTTGACTTCTTGTTTGAGTTTTCTGTTGATTATCCACTTTCGCAAGACCATCACTGAAGCAATAAGTGCAGACAACACGACTAAGACTGCAAACACAATGCCCCAAATAAGAACAGTCGCAAGCGTGTAATTTGCTTTGTTGTAATTTGCCTTCCACGCGTCGTCAGCAAGAGCTGAAGCAATAAAGAAGATGACAAAGAGCATTGTTGAGTGAATGGATATCCAAGTTCACTCCTTTTATACTGTTGTTTACTTTTTGAAATACAAAATGAAATGTTCCAGCTCTCAGAGAATGTTTCGTCGTCTGTTTTGTCTTGTCAATGTGACGACACACCCGCCAAAAGAGGTCATCCAAGCCTGTTCTTTGAAAAAAACATTCGACAAAGCAATACTTCCATACTTTGTGTTAAGCAATAACTGCTTTGTAGTAACAATTTTACTATTTTATATTGTAAAAATATAAAATAAATTAAAATAGTGTTCGTTTTAGTTGAAAAACGCAGAGTCACTTCGAGCATTTCGTTCGTTTCGTCTTGTAAGTTGATATATTCTCGTTTTCTTTTTTTCGTTTTAAATACAATAATAGCATGGAAAATAGCCTACAAACCGGGACTTTTAATGTTTAAATGCTTTATTGTTATTTTTTTTTGACTTATCAGAAAATTTCAGTCTTATTTTAACTGATTTTGAACTTCAAAAAATTGTGTTGTCATCATTATCTATATTTATAAAATTGTTTCGTTTAGAAATATCAAAATTCATAATTTAAAACAAAAAGACATTTTTCTTAATTTGAACAATAGAACTTTCTTATGAATTTGATATGATTTTCAAACATATAAAATGTTACGACTTTCATTGTATTTAACTTATCATAAAAATATAGTTAAATTGTCAATTTAACAAGTCTTGTAACAACTCCATTATATTATCAAAAAGTTGATTGATTTGTGTTTAAACTTTTCGTACACTAAACGTTATTAAATACTTTTCATCTATAATTTTCAGGAATAATGATAATTGATAACACCACAAGTTAATAAACAAATTATCATTTTTTAAATGTATCAAAAACGACAACGGCAGGATTTGAACCTACGCCTCAAATGAGAAATGATTTCGAGTCATACGCCTTAGACCACTCGGCCACGTTGTCTTCCTGTTTTAAAATACACATTTAACATTTAAATGTTATACCATTTTTGATTATAATTGGTATTATATTCAACATGAAAAAAATGAATGAATATGCTTTGTGCTTATATTTCAAGTAACTTTTTAAATGAACTTAACTTTCATGGTATTACAAATTCAAAGTCACTTCACAATAAAAGGTTCTTTTTAAAACTATTACAACAACGATATATTTAATGAAATATTTTAACTTATAAAATTATTAAATGATTATATTGTTGAACATTCTTTATACTTTCTAAAAATGTCGTTGTGTAAAATGAGAGTGTCATATTTTTTGTATTTAATCATTAAGATCACCAATTTCATTTATATTCATTGTAACATAAATCTAAACAACAAATAGATAATATTAATCTTAACTTTGAACACTCTAATTATTTTAATAATATAAATAAGTGTATTTCAAATGTTAAATATATGATATGTAAAAGTTATTAACACTCATTTTATCAAAGTGCACACCTTCTTTTCACTATATATATACCATATATACTTAATTCCAAAAATCGGAATAAAAACCATTCGGGTTAGCGATTTGGCACCCACACCCATGCACATAACTTACATAAATTATTTTTAGAACTAAAACAGTTTGAAAACTTATTGTTATTTGTTTTTTTTAAATAATAATATGTAAATAGAATAATTAGTTTTTAAGATTTTATTTTATAATAAACTATAATATAATAAATATTTTTTATTGAACTGTTTATTAACTAACTATACCAAGGTAAATACGACATGTTTAAAGGATTAGAACATTCACACAACAAAATTTCAATTAAAAAGAAATACAACACACTCAGTTTGATCGTGACACGTGTTGTTTATCAAAAAACATGTTTAAGAACAATATTTTGTCAATTGAATTATCTTTAAACAAAAATATAAACATTCAATTCAAAACGTGAATAATGACACTCGTTTTGAAGATAAAAGACTTGTTTTAAATACGTTTAAACCACTTTTCAAGTTATTTGTTTTTTTACTATAATAACGTCTTGTTAAAACATTACTACAGTGGGTAAAACCTTTTCTGTCTTTTTGACAACTTCCACTTGACTTTATAGATTTTAATAATATAAATATAATAAAATGTAATGTATTGTTTACCATGAAGACTGATAATGTCTCGTGGAAATTTTTTCTGTCTGAAATAATAATTTGTATTATACATGTAATTACAATTTTATTATTTTGAACTAATAACAAACAAAAAATTGTTAATAAGACGGAAGCAGTTTTTTATTGCCCTATACGTCATATTAATATCAATTTTTATAGATATAGTTTTAACTATGTTACAATACTTATTTTGATTAAAATATATAGATCATCTTGTCAAATAAAATGTCAACATACGATCATTTAAGGTTTTGGTTCGATTCTTTTTGGACACGTTTTGGCGTAATGACCTGGTTGTTTACAAACGAAGCAATATCGATGTTTTTTGGATATTCCGACACATTTGTTATGTGGCTTTTTCATGCCTTCTGTATATTCAACTACGGTTGATGGCTTTATTTGTCTTATTTGACTAATCTTTTGGGGGTCGGTAAGGCCTTCAATTACAAAGCTTTCCGTTACTGTTACTTTTTCACAACCGAAGTCAACAACAGATTCACACGTTTTTGTAACAGAAACACGATGAAGGTTTTTGATTTCTTCACATCCACTACTTTCTTCTATTTGTAACTTTTCTCCCTCGAATAATTTTACGACGCTTTCAACAATGTGTGGGTTTGATTTAACATTTGGATAGTATTTCTCCAACAACATAATGTAATCATTAAACCTGACTATTTCAAGTTGTTTGGGTTCAACAACAATTGAAACGTGTGTTGAAATTTCATTGAAAAGTTTTGTACAATTTGGTTTAAAAAGTTCAATAGGAATTTTTTTTCATGGAGTTAATATAAAGGCTAACAATATGAGTACAAGGGAAACCAGATGTGGAATATACGAAGCATGAACATCCGTTGAAATTTGTCACGTGAGGTAGTGAATCGTAATAATCCATCACATATTTCGATTTAGTTGCATCAATAACATTTAAGACTCTTTTTATTGTAACTGATGTCATCTTTCTAATAACATCTTCATTGAAAAACTGAATTAACAGTTCTACATCTCTTTTTTGAAGATCCCCAAGACTGGATCTTGATTCTAGATCTTTCGAACAACTTAAAACAATGCTAACTATCTCGTCGAGTCGTGGTTGTTTGTGTTCAATTCTTCTTTTCAGCCATCCGAAGAACCCCTCGATCCCATTTGATGTTGAATTTCTTGTTTTTGTTAGAGTAATACTTGGTAGCCACGACTCCGCGCATGCCAACAAATCCTTGATCATTCTGGATTTAGTTGGAATAGTAGTATTGGAGTTGTCATTCAGTTCAATTATAGTTTCAATAAGTTGAGTTACCGTGTCCATAATATAATTTCCTTCGATATTTTCTTTTTCTTTAATGTGTTTTTCGATTGGAATATCACTGTTCTCAAAGGCAAGTTCTGTTAAATAGTTCAAAAAGTCTTCTTCGTTTCCTTGATGACGTATAATTACTTTCTTGAAAAGACCAACAATTGGATGATTTCTACCAAAAGCAGTTATCAAGTTTCTCTTGATGTGTCTGACACAATACACAATATCTATATTGGTGAACACTTTTTTGAGTGCAAAAGTTTGACTTTTACAGCGATCACAAATGAACACTTTGGGGTTGACAAACTTTTGACAAAATTAAAGATAAGTTCAAAAAAGGAAGTTGTTCCATTTTGCATAACAGCAAAAAAGACGCAATGTGAATGACCTTTTGAATCTATATATACTCCCACAGAGAGTGGCAACCCAAATTGGTTCGTACCACTTGTGTCATCCAGCACAACTTCGTTTATTTCTCCAATTTCACAAAGACGTATATTAACTGCTGCGCAACCCAAAAACATTCCACCCCGATTCTTAAATACAATAGTACTCCAGTCCTTTTCGCTTATTAACAACTCGGCTAATTCTTGACTTTGATTTCTGCCATTTGCATCTCTATCTTTTCTTAAAATATTTCCAATCATTTTGGAGTCAAATGACAATTTTAATTCTCTTTTTATGTTTTCAGGAGTAACTCCCAATTTGTACTTTGCTCTCATTTCTTCCATTTCACTTTCTGTAAAATATGGATAAACTCTATCGGGAAGTTTATGGAAATTGTGATTATGTAAATGGTTAATTTGTATTTCATTTACTCGTTTCTTGTCACGAGATAGAACAAGAGTCAATCTACATGGACAGCTTGTGAATACACACTTGAAAAATTGACTGGGACCTTTACAGTGACTACTAAAAGTAACAAACAAAGAAAACATACCACCCTCAAGCTTTGTTGCGGACGCCTTTTTCATTTTTTCGCTTTGAGTTGAGAAATTGTAATTTTCAAATTCAATTTTTAGTTGTTCAATGACATATTCTGGTGTTTCACAATTATTTTCTTTAACAATTTCACACTCGTCTTTATGAAACACAACTTGTGGTTTACATGAAATCATATTTTTGTAAATTATTAGATTTAAATCTAATTATTTAAAAAACAAATAACAACAAATTTTCAAACTGTTTTAGTTCTAAAAATAATTTATGTAAGTTATGTGCATGGGTGTGGGTGCCAAATCGCTAACCCTTTATTTTGCTATTTAAAATTAAAATAATTATTTTAAGAATTAAAATTACACAAATAAAATTATTCAATATTTACACAAAATAATTAAACATTTATAAATAAACAAAAATAATTAATTATCTGAATTTTTAATTTTAATAAATAAATAATTGTTATCTTGGCATTGTATCGATCTTTTGCCGAAAGAATCAACAAGATTATTAACTGTTGTCATTGGTATTGATTTACATGCACGAACCTCTTCTGTATACACTGCATCCGACGACATCATTGGGGATATTTTCATTTTTTTCATTATTCCCCACATATTTTCAATGGGATTCAAGTCCGGACTATTCCTGGCCATCCTTTAATTATTTTAACCCCATTATTTGCCAAAAAATACAAACAACTTTTTGCTCTATGAGGAGGTGTTCCATCTTGTATAAATTCAAATTTTTTCCCTCCATTTTTTCAATAGAGTCTATAAATTATTTTCTTTCCAAAGATTGACATACTCTTTTCCTCCAAATTTTCCTATGCATCTTATCAAAGAACTTTTAAAATTTTAACCAATAATTCCGAACACCATAACACTTGCTGTTTTTAGGTGAAAAAGAACAATACATCTTTTTGTTGTACATTTTGTTTTCCAAACTCTCAGTATTTTGTCATTATTATAACAAAAACGACTTTCATCAGAATAAAAAATTTTTCTTCCTCTTTTCCTTTTTAGTTTTAAGTTGTGAATTCTTTCAGTTTCTAAAATTTGCAATTGCTCTTTTACGAATGCTTTTCTTTGTTCGACGTTTCTCTTTGTCAAAAACGTACATTGTTTTTGTTTTATAAAAACCAAATTATAAACTTTTCCGGATTCTATAAAATGAGGTTGTTGACATTTTTATATTACATTTATTTTTAAGTATTTGAGTACATTTTTTTGCAACTTACACAACATTTTTATTTGTGATATTTTTAATTACTTCTTTCATGTTATCCGAGAATGATGGATTTCCTCTTTTAGTTGGTTTTATATCTGAATACTCTGATAAACATCGATAAATTCTCCCAATATCAGGACTTTGCAAGTTTGAAAAACGAAACATTTTAACAATGCTAGCTGGTCTTTTTATACCACAGTCAATACAATACTTAACATTTTCTTCAACTGTTTTTCCTGGAGACAAAATGAATTTATTTATTTTATTGTGTTCTATTTCTTTAACTTCTAAATTTGAAATTTTATCTGATATGAGTTTTAATGTTTCAGAAATATGATCTTTTTCGGTTTTGTCAAGCCTCATTCCTCCTGGTAATTGAAACGTTGTACTAACAGTAGAACTACCAATACGTACATCACATCTTATATCATCAAGTGAAAGTGGATCACTAAAGTGCTCATCCATGAATTTGAGTTTTTCATCATTGACAATATTATATATTTTCTCTTTGAATAGATCTTCTTGAATAAGTTGTTGCAAAAATACCAAGTTCATTTCTTCGAGTGTTATCTCTTTAACAATCAACATTTTATCAAGTGTTTTTTGACACCAAGCCTCATTTGTGATAATATTGAGATGAAAAAAATTAAAAGGATTTGATGTTATTTAACTTTTAAAGTCAAATAAAACAACGAATTATTTCTCTATAAAATTCGGTTATAATACAAAAATAATGATTGTTGTTTTATTTGGTTGAATTGGTATTTTTTATAACATTTTCTTTGGTTTTACCTTAATATCATAATGTATTATCTTTAAAATAATTAAATTATTGTTACAAATTTATAACATTTCAATCAACAACATTGATCAAAATTCGTTGTTTTTATACCCGCATTTTGCTTGTTAAAAACTCCCTATTATTATGAATTATTTAATTGTATTTAAATTCGGAATTATTACATTATTGAAAACATTCTGAATTAAAATAGTTATTTATCATAAAATAAAAACTCATAATTAAAAATGTTTTGTGAGTAAATAAGGTTTTATTTACTCTTTTTGAGATTATTCCAAAAAACAGAATATGTATAATTTTAAACGAATAACCTTTATTTTATAGATAAAAAAAATCCAATTCCGATTTTTGGAAAATAGTATACATAACAAAATTTACAATAAAAATAATATAATTATTGAAAATTAGCTGTTCATACACATATCAACCAACTCAGCTTGTAAAATGCAACACAAAAAATTGTTATCAATCTTAATAATATAACCACTTTATTAATTTACAAAAAAAGAGGACAAAACCATGAATTATGCTAACAACCACTTCATAAATTCTTCCAGTTGAACTTTCCCATTTCCATTTGCGTCAATCGACTCGAACACGTATTTCACGTCCGCTGATTTGATATTTGCGATCGTTCTCTTACAATATTCGTGGAATTCGGCCATCTCAATAGTCCCACTTTTATCGATGTCAATTAAGTTGAACAACATTGTAGCTATTGCAACCTTTCGATTTGAAAAGTCTTTTGGCATCGCCTTTACTATTCTGTCAAACTCGTTTTTGTTCAGACGGCCGTCCTTCTTGTTGATCATCCCTTTCCCATCTACAAAGGTCATAATATCTTCAAAGACATCATCATAACTCGCATTCGCTCCTGTCACCCGCCGCATCCCTTCGATAAATTCAGACTTTTCTATATATCCATTACTGTCTACATCAAAATCTTTGAAAAGTTGTTTACTATCATACTCGTGACTCATTAATTATTTCCTTTATCAGTTCTATTCGTTTTTTCTTCAAGGTTTTTATGCCGCTATATTTTTAGGTATTAAAAATAATGTTAATATTTACTGTTTTGTTAACATGTATATTTTATACTATTTATATTAACTTTGTGTTTTTGTTGTTTTTGTTTAATAAAGTATTTTTTTTAACATTGTGAATGATTTTTTTAAATTGATATTTATTGATTCAATTGGTCAAAATAAACTTAACAATTTTTAATTTATTTTTTTTTCTATTCAAATTATTATACAAAACTATATGTAATGATTTAAACAATCATAATTAAAATTATTTTATTTGTTCAAATTTTAAAAACTTTTAAAAAAAGTTATTTTGACGTTTTAATTCAAATTAATAAATTTAATTTAATTAACATTTATTATAAACATATAATAGTTATATTAATTAATTTTATTAAAAAAATAATAGTTTAAAATTATTTTAAATTAAATTAGTTAATAATTTTAAAACTTTTCAATTTATAGTTTGACAAAACTTTAATAAAATATATTAATTTGTTTTAATTATAATTATAGTAAAATATAACCAATAAATGCAATACTAGTTAATTCAATGAATTTAAATGCGATTATACACGACCTTCACTATGTAACTCCACTCGATACTCCTCTTTCATTCTCCACTGTAACTACGACACTATTTTGACCACATCGAACGGCAAAAACCCACACTTCATTCCTTCTGTAGTCACTCTGACCAAATCCTTCTTTCTTCCCACAAGATATACAAACTGTCCTGCTTTGACAGACACCTCATCACGACATTTAGCCTCATAGTCCATGCAGCATACAAATCTAAACATCTGGAGTAATTCTTGCACGTGATTCTTCGGGAATGTTCCTTCTCTTCCGTTACACTTCCCCCACCACCTGTCATTATTATTATATTAATAACACATTATAATAAATAAATAATATAGTAATAATATAGTAATAATATATATAATAATAATATAATAATAATATATATAGTAATAATATAATAATAATATATATAGTAATAATAAATAAATACTAAACCATGAAATATCTTTAAAATAGTAAACACATCTATCACAACAAACAAACCAATCTCCCTCTTTTGCTAAGATGTCGACGACGTCATCTCTTCTTAAATTCAATTCATCTGAATGTTCTGCCCGGAAGGGATATAACACAACGCACCTCCCCAACGTTTCCAACTTCCCTTTATAATTATAGAAATCCTCATTCTCCGCATTCTCCGAGTTGTCGACCAACTCCTGGACCTCCTCAAACGTCTCCAGACATTCGTTTGTCGTCCCAAACTCGCTCTTTTCGCATTTCAGTTTCTTCTCGCCCTTTTCCCTTGTCAGTTGTGTAGTTCCGCAGAACTCGTCGATCTCCAAATTCTTCACTGCGCTTTTTCTGAGGAATTTTGTTGGGGTGTTTGACACGACGAACTCCTCAGGTGTTTGTACGTCGTGGACATTTTTTGAGATCCCGAGACCTATGCAGACTTGGTTACACCGATGAGTTTTAAAGAATCGTTGGATCCCTTCCTCTCCCAAATTAGTTGGTGAATATTTGAATTCGTCGTCGGTGCTTGATAAGACAGCAGGATCAGTGAGATAGAACCATTTGTCTTGGAAAACTCCTTGTAAATCCGCAACTAATAATTGATGATTAGATACAACCCACGTCCAATGAGAGAACGCGTGGAGCGACGCGTGAAAGGTATCGATCCAGACATCTCCATTGTTCGAATTGAACTTTAAAAACTCCCCGCTTAACAGTGGCTCAACAAAGAAAAAATTCTCGCCGAGACTTCGAAGTTGGGCCCGACTAAGGGTCACCCCATCATACCGAGTGTCCCGCGTGTTGATCGCAAGGAATAAAGTCAGCGGCACAAAGTGGAGTTGCAGTGGTGTCACACGTAACTGATTGTATTCCTCAGCAAAGCTCTCACATAACATCTGTCGTTCCACCGTTTCTATATAACACTCAAATGATCGGATTTTATTAAAACGTTTGAGTACAATCTCCCGATCTGAGTGACTGAATTTTCCCGAAAAGGCAGTCCTTTCACCCCCATTCCCAAAGGACGCACTTTTCGCAATCACCTTGGCAGAATGAAGCTGAAAATATTCTATACTTTTACCTTCTCTTAATAGTTCACGAACTTGATCTGAAGTATACGGAATCTCAATATGATATCCTTCAGCTTGGACGTTGTATTTCATCGTCTTCGTTTCGTCCATTTTTTTGCTTGATCATTTCAAGTTCTAAGTGCGAGACGATTTTTTTGGTTCAAATCGTATTGTTTCTATTTTTGATTAATTATAGTATAGTTTATATATAGTTTGTTAATTACTGGACATTTCTTTCGTTTGTAAATTCCATTTAAAAAGTAATGAATTTTTATAATGTTTGTCATTTATAGATTTGAACCATTATTTTATAGTTTGGTGTTTCAAAACTTCTTGAAATTTTTATTTTTTATTTTTTTCGTTTATTTTTGACACCATTTAGTATTTTGAGAAGCTTCGTTTTTGTTTGGGTAATTCATATAATTATTAACAAATGGTTGTTTTATTATAATTTAATTATATTAAATCTTTGAGTTTGAAAAATTATAAACAAAAAACCGTATAAATAAACGATATTAAAAACATTTATTAGATATTAAAGCAATAGCCCTCAAAATTAGACTTGTTTGTTGTGATAAACGAGTCATTTTTATTAATTTTTTTCACATTTTGTTATCTTAAAAGTTAAAAATTAAAACTAACTGAATTTTTTAATTATTATTAAATAAACTATTAATTATTATAAACCAAACTAATATTACCATTACTTTTTATATTGTATTGTAATACTATAATAGAATAGTATTTAATTGTTAATTATTATAATAATAATTTTATAAATCATTATTATATTAGTTAAATAACAAAGCTTTTTGATCGTAAAAAATACGAAAAGTCAACTTATAAAAACACGAAAATACTCTGTTAATGATTAGTTCAAGTGTATGATTTATTTACTATTAGTTGGTTAGTAAATAAATAGAAAACTCTATATACTAAAATTTGATTACATCAATAATAAAGTTGTTTTCTAGCTCTTGAGAATTTGCCGTGTCTTCCATCGAAATGGTATACCCATCAAACAGAAATTTGAGGTGTGTGACGTCCTCTCCGATCTTTTCTGCGAATCTAACGAACAGCTTTTCGAGCTTGTCAATCTTGTTGTCACTTTCTTAATGTGTTGAAGATTTTTGCATTATTCCATATTTTAAGTACATTTTACTATTACCAATTGTTTTGACTTCTCACAAATGACAAACTATATATGACAAGTAAAATTATTATAGAATCTAATAAAAAACAAACAGGCGAGATTCTGAAAGACGAGATATTGTTGTCGTAACGAAGTTTTAATTTGACGAAATGAGAAGGATCAATAGCCTTTTCATCGACAGTGCAGTCAATGGTATCTCCGTCCTCTACTGTATAGTTGTCCAGTGTTTTCTCGTCCTTAAGAAGTATCCCCACGAACTTGAAAGTGAGTGCGGCCGACGTATCTTTCGAGTATATTTCCTTGAGTTGTTTGATTGTTGTTGTTTTAGGAACTTTCATAGTCTTTTTTGCCCCGTCACGCCTTACCGTCACGTTTATTCCAGATCCAGTCCCAAATTCCATTTTCATCTGATCTTGAACACTCGGCTGAGAAGATAAACTGTAATGACTTTCTTCTGCAGCGACAAGGTCAATGTAATTATTTGACATAGAAACAGATTGGAAAAGAGAGAACCCTTTTTATATTAAAAAAAAAACTATTATTATATAATAGTTGTTTAATATTAATAATATGTAATTTGTTATATTATTTTGTAGAATGGTTAAAAAACTAAATGAATTTTAATTATTCTTTTTGTTATATGTTATTTTAATTATATATTATAGAAATAAATCTATTGTTTTAGTTGTATTATATAGTTTCTTTCTATTAATTAAACTCCATTATTTTCAAAAAGAGATAAATTTTTATAAATAATAAAAATATAATTATATTTTTGTCACTTTTTTAAAAATGTTAATTAATAATAATAATTCATAATAATAATAACAATTGTTATTTATGAAATAAATCCAAATTTGTTTTTCAAAAAAATAATTTATAAATCAAATAATTTTTATAACTTTATTGTAAAAAGTATTAGTTGTTTAATATTAAATTGTCATAAATTATAATAAAAATATACCATTTTTTTAATAATTTTGTAAAACGAAAAAAAATATTAAATCTAAAAATAACAATAAAAATAATATTGATAGATTAAGTGTGTTTCACAATTATTTAAAAAGTAGAAATTATAATATTGATAAACAACCGAATTCTATAGAAACTTCTTTTTTATATAAAACGAGCCAATAGTCAATGATTAACATAGTTTTAGTAAAATAATAATAAATGTATTATTAATAATAGTTAATGGTAGTCAACATCAAAACAAGTAAACTTTTTGTTTGTATGTTAGATATTAGTTTTAGGCAAACAGGCCAATGAAGAAAAACAATTTGACGAAAAAGACACCCATCCAGAAATGGTTCAAAAAATCAATATTCAAAAGTTGGAGTCCATCTCAATAATTATGAGTGACACACTTGAAGCGAAAAAGGCGGCTATTCGTGCAAAGATTGAGGCCGAGATGCGAGAAAAGAGGAAGCTTGAGAAGGAGGCGAAACACGTACAACCGTCCTCTTCAAAAGATATGTCCACTGCAATTGCAGAAATGAAGAAAAAGGCAGTTGAAGAAGCAAAAGTGGAAGTTGAAAAGGAGTGGAAAGAGAAATATGAGAAGAAAAACGAAGAGCTTTCTAAAGCCTTAACAGAAAACACTACACTGAAGGCTACAATACTTGAGTTACAAACTTCTGAAAAATATTCGAAAGAAGAAAACTCAAAATTACTCGTCAAAATCACAGAACTGGAAAAGGAAAAAGTGGACTTTGAGGAATCGAACTCAAAAATAATTGCGACATTCCAAAAAGAAAATGAGGTTCTAAAAATAGATTTATCGCAACAAAAAGAAAACATTCAGAAATTAAGCGATGAAAATGAGCACTTAAAAATTACCCTTCAAAAAGTGGAAGACGACAAAAACAAAGAAATTGCAGATGAAAAAGAAACCAGTCGAAAAGCGATAGAAAAGTGTGGAGAGGACTTTAAACAAAAAGAAAAGGAACTTCTTGAAGCAAAAACAAAAGAACTTGAACAAACCACCAAAGAGCTTGAAAATGAAGCGGAGCAGAAAATTGATGAATACGTTCGGCAATTTAAAGAAGACGAGAAAAAAAGTCGCGAGATGTGGGAAGAGAAAAAGAGTGAAGAGATCAAAAGTGAGATGATGGATATGTGTATGAAGTTACTTGATGAAATGGAAGAACAAACACGAACAGAAATATACAATGAAGTAATGTCTGATTTAATGAATGGAAAACAATTTGATGTGAAACCAAATACTGAAGATTTGAATGAAGAATTAAATGAAGAAGACGAAGCAGAGATCGAAAGAAAAATCAACGAAGAGCTTGAGAAGCAAGTCCGTGAGGAAGTAGAAAATGAGATGCAAAAGAGTCAACCCGATGATGATCAGAAAGACCAGACAAGTAACAACAATTCCTTAAATTCTGAAAATAAAATGACACAAAATGATAGTTGCGATAAACATTGCGATAAAACACTACCTTCAAATTCTGAAACAAAAATAGACGTAGCGAACGCATCAAATGTTGTGCTAACAATAGCAGCTGACGATTTAGCACCTCCGCCACTTGATGAACATATAGTTGAACAATATAAAGCACCTCCAAACCCGCCAGAGTTAACATTTGAACAACTTTCTCAACAGAAAAACGATATTCAACTTGAAGGAGGTGAAGTACTTAACACACAAAACAAGGTAGAGACCTCCCCACAACCTCTCCATATGAAAAGTGAATCAATTACGACTGTCGAAGATATCAATAATCAAAAAACATCAAATTATTTGGACACAAATGATATACCAACTAACGCAACAGAAAAACAACGTCGTTCGTCATTTGGTATTGAAGAGTTGACCGTCGGAAGCGACTTGATGTACTTCCAAATCCGTCCCAATGGCAAGAAAGGGCGATACCCCATTTCAAAGAACTTTTTCGAGTTCAACTCGAGTCTTCCAACACAAAACGAGAACTCCACTGTCCTTTGTACTGCTGGAACTTCAGAGAATGACCCACAACAAGCGGTAGAAACTCAAGACGAGAAAAAAACAAAAATAGGAGTGCGCGGAGGGTTTCCTCATGGTTTTAACCCTGCCGACATCAAATTGAAAAACACGGGCGGTCTCCGTCGTAAATCTTTTTCACAACAATTCAAAGAAAAAGTGCAACCAATGCAAAACTTGGACCCAAATGAACTCGTCAAAAAACAGGAAAACCTCAAAGAAAATATTGAAGCAAAAAAAGACTCAAAAGACGTGCAGAGCTCCCCACGCGTCAATAAATTCATCGGAAGAGTCCAAACAGCACAAAACAATTCATCACCAGAAAAGTCCGAGAAAGACGAGAAGAAAGAAAAACACACAACTCCTCCAAAACCAGCCGGCGTGGCTCCGCCACTTGAAAAAGGAAAAAAGGAAAAGTCAAGAGACTCAAAGGGAAAAACAGACGACGTAAAGGCGGCCGAAAAAGAAAAAGAGAAAACTGAAAAAGAAAAGAAAAAGGAAAAAAAGAAAGATAAAAAGAAAAAAATAAAATAAGTCATTCAGTCTGTGTTTTTAGTGTTGTGTTGGACTGAAATGGTCCTTCGATCGTTTTAAATTACTCATTTTTTTATTACTATATTTATTAGAAAATTTAATTGTTTTTTAATTGTTTATAATAGTTATTATTATCATTATAATTAACAAACGAAGGTTAAGTTTTTTATAAAACTGTGTTCGTTAATAACATAACCTTTAGTTAAATAATAACTTAAAAAAAGGGGTGTTATATATTAATTTTTAAAAAAATTATAATATTATAATAATATAATAATAATATTTATCTATATAACAATGTAAGTTGTTTACTCAATTTACAAATTTATAACAAAAAAACTTCATTTAAATAAAGAAGTTATCATTAACAATAACCATTCTTAACAACATTCTAATAATATGTTTAACTAATGATTAATTAAATAAATAAGATAAATATTATTACTAAAATAATAACACTTTTATTACCAATTATTAGTTTAAAAATAATATCGAAAGTCGATTTCTAGAATATAAATATAATAGAAGCAAGATATTGGAGTGACCCTTTAAAAACAATGAAACAACTCTGAGGTTAAACAGTTATTAGAAAAACGAAGAAGACCAAACTCAAACATAACATAATATTGTACAAATGGGGGACGTGTGTGATGAGAAAAAGCGGAACGAAATTAGAGCAAGGATCGAAGCAGAAATACGAGAAAAAAGAAAACAAGACAAATTAGTCAAACAACAGAACCTTGTTTCAAATATGACTGATGTTGTCAATGAGGTGAAGAAAAAGGTATACGAAGAAGTGAGAATTGAATTTGAAAAGGATATGACGGAAAAAATGCAACAAAAAAATGAAGAACTATTAAATATTAAAAAGGAGTTTGTCGCATTGAATTCAAAATATGAGGAAATAAAAAATTTGCTTGAAGAAGCAAAAGATGCGATAAAAGAAAAAGATAATCAAAACATATTTTTCATTGACGAAAACGAGAAAATGGATTTGAAAAACCAGAAGCTTGAAACGCAATTGAAGGAATCTAATGAAAGAGCTAATGGACTCCAAAAAGCACATGAAGTCCAAAAACGTGATTTTAAAAAGTGTCAAGATGAGTTCGAAAAAGAAAAGGAAGGTCTTATTGTTTATATAAAAGATAAAGATGTTGAAAACAAGACTCTCATAGAAGAAAATAAACGTCTTCAACTTCAATTATCAGAGCTTATAACCACAACAAACCATTATGAGATAGAGAAGGAAGAGTTCATCCAAAAGATTGAAAACAAAGAAAGGGAGTTTGAAAAAAATAAGATGAAAGAGCTTGAACAGTTCATACAAGAGCTTGAAGATGAAGCAGAGGAAAAAGTGAATGAAGTAATCAAACAATATGATGAAGATGAGAAAACACAACGAGCAATGTGGGAAGAACAGAGAGAAGAGGAAATAAAGAATGACATGATGGATATGTGTATGAAGTTACTTGATGAAATGGAAGAACAAACACGAACAGAAATATACAACGAAGTTGTCTGTGATTTGCTTGGAGAGAAGAGTGACGATTTGGACGAAGAGGAAATTGAAAAAAGAGTACAAGAAGAGTTAGAACGTGAAAAGAGTCAATTGGCACCAATGATGACATCAACTGATTTGGAAGTTAGTGAACAAAAGATTGAATTTGGAGAGAAAACGTATAATCTTTGTAATAAAGATATAGCTTTAAGACATCACCACTCAAAAAATGGACAATTAACTTTACCGAAGTTCCATCCAGACTCTATGATGAAATCCAAACTTGAACATCGCAACTCTATTTCCTTTTCTCAACAATTCAAAAGCAGAGTCGACTTAAAAGAGCAATTAGAAAATAGAGAATCCCAAGAGCATTATATTTATGCCAATGAAGAGAAGCAAAAAATAGAAAAGGAAAAGACACAGAGAATATCAATGTCTCCAAGAGTGAAGAAATTTATTGGCAGAAAAACCACTGGCGAAACCAAAGTCAAATCAGAAGATATAAACGTGACTTTACAAGAAGAAAAGGGCTCCGTTGAAGAAGCTAGAAAGTAAATAAAATCATTTGTAATGTTGTTTTTATATAGTTCTATTAATAAAACAGGTGTTCTAAATTTATAATTACAAATAATAGTTTTATTACTATTTATTTATAATATCTAAAAATACTTAGAATGAATGATCACTTATTCTCATTGAAAAATTTTCTTGATGCTTTCTTTGACATTTCCAATAAACTCAGCTTTCTTCTCTCCTTTCACAAAGTAATAGAAGGTTGGCATCTTTTGTACTTCATATCGTTGGAACACTTCTTTGGCTTTGTCAACATCAACCGCTACAAAGTAAACTTCAGGAAGTTCCTTTTCTATCTCCAAAGCTATTGGAAGAGCAGTCTGGCAAGCTGGACACCAGGTAGCAAAGAATTTCACACCAACCTTCTGATGTTCAGAAAGGATTTGTTCGAATTCAGCAACAGAGTTCACTTCTTTCATTTGATACAGATTTTTAAGACAACAGTTTTTATACCTTTTTTGATTTTCTTACAACAAAAAATTACATTCGAGTCGATTTTAAAAACTTTATTATTAGTTCCTTACCAAAAATTGTTTCATATTAACGTTAAAATGAAACAATACTCATTGAACTTCTATTCTCCACACAAAATGTATTGGGTTACAATGCAGCGATTTACTTCATTTTCAAAAAATTAAAATATTGTTATCGAAATAATAAAATTAAAATTGGTATTAATTAAACTTACTATAAGTTTAATTAAATAACTTAAACAAAGAACAAAACCCCATAATTTAATTTAATTATAATTAACAATGATATATAATAAATGTTCTATTTGATTATCTGTTTCCAATCGTTACAAAATTGTTTTTGTAATTATGTATAACAGAGAGAACGTGTTTACATTCCATTTAAAACTATAGAGTTGATAAATATAAAATAAACGAATAATTTTATTGAATAAAATGTAATAATTACTTTTAATTAAATAATTAAAACAAGGGTATAAAAAAGTTTAATAAAGTTTTTCATTTTTTATAGTACAGTGTTTAAAACAACAGTTTTTGTAAATGTGATTGTATAAATAATTAAAAATATATAATAATAATACAAATTACCACTAAGGATAGAAAAAGTTTTTACATGGCATTTTCAGTCATATGGTAAATGGTACAATACATTTTATTATATTATATATTATTTAAATCTATAAAGTTAAAATAAAGATTTTTTATATTTTAATCCAATATAATTTCCTTATTATTTGGGATTCTTAATTATAACATAAATAATTATTTTATATTAATATATATAACTATAATTCAAATATATTTTAATATTAAATTAATTTATGGTTTAAATTTACTATACTTTATTGTTTGCTTTATACTAGTTTAATAATAAAAAATACTATTTAAATTGTCAATACAAATATTTATACTCAAAATATTTTATAACCATAATCTAAACTATAAAAAGTCTCTTTCAAAAACAATTCAGAAAAATTCCAACACGAAAATTCTCTGTACCATAAATGGGGTATCGTTTTCGCCAATCAAATCTTCGTCTTTCATTCCGTCAAAAGCTCCGCTGAGATTATGACACCATGATTCTTTCATCCACGTTTTTGTTATTTCCGCAAAAGAATTTCCATTTAAATCTCCGAACGTAAAGAGTACCGACGAATTCGTTTTAATACAAATCCCGCACTTCACATTTCGTTTTGTATTCCATTTAATTGGATCTTTAAATCCCTTTCTATTACTTTGCAACAAAAACGAAAAGATTTCCTCTTGACTTTTCGTTTCGTTGATTTTCCCCTCGCTTATTCCGTACTTCGTGAAAATTCCAAAAACGTTTTGTTTCTCATCAAAACTCAAAAATACCAAATTCTCTTTCCCCCGCGTTTTCTCCTCCATAATTTTCCCGCTTTCTCCCATTTTTTGCCTTTCTTCCTTTGAGTCATACACCACTGAAAATTTCTTCAAGCCAACCCACTCCGCCAGAGTTTCTCGATAACTCCCAATGATTTGTAACTGCTCTTGACTCACCAGACTTTCACTTTTATGACGTGATGTGGAGACACGTGGCGACTTTATAGTGCCCCGTGGGGAAAGTTGTTGCGTCATTTTCACAAACTCGTCCGACTGGATCTTCAAATTTTCGCGCTTTTCCTGTTGCCCCATTTTCTTGAGCTTTTTCTCAAGTTTCTCAAGCTCGTCCAAATTGGGAGAGGCCTCTGGAATGACACGTGGCGTTGATGTGGTGCGAGGTGTTGTCCCTTCGTCCTGGAAAACGGTTAAGACGGGTGAAGGGATTCGAGGGGGATGGTTTTGAGAAACTATTGTTGTAATTATTTTTGTCATTGTTTTTAGCTTGACTTTTGTCTCATCGTTTTGTGTTGCGATGTCGGAAAATTTCGGTGAATTTTCAGATGAAATCAGACGATACACAGCTTGAAGGGCGATCTTCAAAATCTTTCCTGTTATCGGCTGATCATCTTTGATTTTCGTTGTTATGTCATCAATCGTCACCATTTTAGTTTTTGCAAGATTGTATTATCTTCATTTTGCCTTTTTTTAGTTCAAATAATAAAAACGAGACTTTATTTTTATCAGGTCATTTTAATTAAATAAACTAAAATATATTACTTGTAATGTTTTTTTATATAAAAATATCGGTTTATTCATATAACTCTATAATTACTTTATTTTAAATAAATATATTATTGTTTTAGTTTAAATTTTAAACGAATTTTATAGTAAAAAAAAACTATATTTAAATTATCAATTAAACTAATACGCACTTTTCATTTTTACTATTCTTAATAACTTTTTTATTACAAACTTTACTACTCCTTTTTTCCTCCAAAATCCTCTGGTACTCCGCCAGTTGTGCCATAAAACCACTGTTGGGCTGTATAACAGGTCTTCGAGTCCTTACATATTGTATAGCCTCATCCCTGCTCATACTTTTAGTATTCATAATATAAGCGACGCATATCGTAGCAGACCGACTCACTCCAGCCAAACAATGGACTAAAACGTTTTCCCGTTTTCTCTTTTTTTCCATCAAAAATTCAACACACTCGTCGAAATATTGTAAGATTGACGTTTCAGGAAGATCTATAATACTAATGGTTTTGTAACTATATTTTTTACTATAATAAGGCTCTATATCACAAACAGAGAGGATTGCGACAATCTTTAGTTTTTCAAGCAAAAATTGATCACTTGCGTGGTGTTGTGATCCCAAAAAAATACCGTTGTCAATCTCCGAGATTTTCTCGTTAACTAAACGCGAAACTGACAACTTGTGATTGAGAAATGTCAGAACGGTTGGATCGACATTATTTCCCGAAAAAGAAAGGTGTTTCAATTTTTTCCAGTTGACGTCATCGTTAATAGTAGAAATCAAGTTGTAGTCGAGATTGAGTTGAGTGAGTGTTTTTGGAAAGTTTGGAATTTTCGTCAAGTAATTTCGCGAAAGATCTAAAGAGACAAAATTCGGGGATTTGTCAAAACTTTCGTTTTTGCAGATGAACTCATTGAACTCCATGTCGTCAATTTGGCATGCCCGAAGACTCAAACTCTCAAGAAAAACGAAAGCAGAAAAGTTTATAGTTAAAAGTGATGGACAATTGGACAAGGACAAATTTTTCAAGTGCTATAATTTGAGTTTGTTTTGTAATAGTTTTAGAAACTATATTTATATTATAAAAAATGAATAAACTAGATAAAATAGAAATATTAACCATTACTAATATGCTATATTTATACTATATTTTAAGCACATAAAATGATGTTGAGTCTGTGCGTGTAAACTAAATTTTGCTTTTCAATAGTTCTGTTTTATAGTAATATTGTTGAATAAATAACTAATTTTTAAAATGAGTTAATTATTAAAAACAATAAAAAGTATTACAAACAAAACGAACTTGATCTCCAATTTTAAAAACTTGAGGAATTGAAATGAGATTAAAGAGATTGGGAGAAGCAATCTCGAGATAGTCAAGTGAGTCGCTTGTGAACGTTTTTAAATGCTTTCCTTTGTAAATAAAATTTTTGATGGGGGTTTTAGTTATCATCAAAAACTCAATTGATTCCGATAAATCGATCTCAGCGATTTGGTTTTGTGTTATGATTAATGTTTTTAAGATTGAGAAATGTGAAACATCCAACTTCCCTTTAAAAATGTTATTTGAAATATCCAAACTTTCCAATGGAAATGTGGTTAAATAGTCTGGGAGTTCGTGTAAAAAATTCGATTCAAGATTCATTTCAGTCAAATGAGTGAATCTTTGCAAATCTGGGAGATTGTGGAGATTGCATTTTTGGATCGAAATCGATTTTAAAACGGTTGGGTTGCAAATTATTAATTCTTTATTAACAATAGTATCCGCTCTGTTCATCAATTCTCACAATTTCAATCTTTAGAATTAAATATGATATGTTTAGTTACAATCTGAATTATCTTCAATAGTTTCTTTTAAAGATATTAATATGAAAAAAATAGTTTCAAACACATCAAAGAATGTGATATCTTCCCTTTCATCCTCATCCATTTGGATTGAATAAAAAGTTAAACAATTAAAGTAAGGTCATAACTTTAACTTCTTCCTTACCAAGACTTTCATTTATAAATATTAGTTAATAAAAACCATTTAAATAAATTAAAAATGAAATAGACTTTAATGTTTTTGGTTTGAAATTAATAAACTATATAATAGTTTATTTAATTTAAAAATAAACCATATAAATTTACAAAAAATCGAGTAACTTTTTTTTGTTTATTTTTTATTGTTTTATTCCACTTAATCACTCATAGTTCAATCTTGCTCAAAATAACACAAAAATACCAGTAAAATCAAAGTAAATCAAATCATCTTCATTAACCATAAATTATACTAAAATCTGCTATAACATATAGTTCTCTTACCAGCGATACAATAAATTATGTGTTTTTCCTCCCTTAGTATTAGTACTCTAACTCACCACTATTCCATGAATTTTGGTATTTGTCCATACCCGTTTCCTTGAGGTGAAGGGTTTTGATTTTGGATCTGGAGATTTGAGAAGTTAGAATATGACGAATAGAGGAGATTGAGCATCTGATCGAGTTGGTCCATTCTTCTTTGTAAAAGAGTCCACTTATTTCTGCTTTCGACGATCTCGCCTCTCATTTCTTGGACTTGGTTTTGGACCTTTCCCAAGTCGATTTTGAGCGCCATGACATTGAACAAGCTGTTGTCCCCGTTGAAACCTGTTTGGATTGGTGATTCGAGTGTGAAGTCTTTATTGACTTCTTGTTGGCAATGAGGACTAAGACTTTTATTTTTCTTTGTCTTTTTCCGTTTAATTTTTTGGAGGTAATCTGGGTGGTCCTTTTGGAAGAATTCGTGTTTAAAGCATACCCCATCCTTACTCTCGAGCTTATGGAACCCGTAGATGTTTAATTGTCGTACGAAGGAAGCCATATTTGAATGTTTAAAGTTCTTTGGTAAGACTTCTTTAGCAAATTGGACGGGGTCTTTCACACAAATGGAATACCCTTTGAACGTATTAGACCAACCTATCATATCTTTATATTCTATTGTGTTCACTAAACTATATAACTTCGCTATAAACGGTGCACAATTGTGAAGATGCTCAGCAGTGGCATCAGAAATGACATCCGATGCCACTGCCAAACCTTCAAGAGGCACTACAACTCCATTTGTGACTTTTGGAGATGGCACACCACCTATCTCTCCACTCGTTTCGTCTAACGTATCAATCATTTCAGTGAGACATCGCCCTTCCATCCGTAGTAGAAATTCTAGTTCATTCTCGCGCATTCTGCTGTTTTCGATCACAGAAATTTCGAGTGGTTTAAATTTTGTTTTTTTAAAATTGACATTTGGGGTTTTTATATGACGATTTAAATATCTATAAAAACGGGAGTATTAGTATAAACTCTTAACTTGATTTTTATTATCGTTTTGGTAATTATGATTAATCATGTACGCAGTTTTTTAATATTTTTAGCAATTTTTTATTGTATTATTGATGTTATTTTATTTGTGAAATTTAACTTTGTTTTTATAAGTTAAATTTGGGCATTTGTTTGGTTTGTAAATCATGAAAACTAGTGCTTATTGGTTGTTTGATAGTTATTTTTATTCATATAATAGTATGGAATAATCAGAAATAATCAGAAACAAACATGTTTTGAGTCATGGGGTTTTGAGTTGTTTATTATTTAACTATATTGTATTGTTTAAATATTATAATTTATTAGTTTAAATTTGGTAACAATTATTCTTAACAAAACCAAACTAAAACTTTATTAGTTTAAATATTAATATTTATTATTAAGTTACTTTTAATATGTAGTATCATTTATACTTTAAAATTATGATTCTATAGTTTAATTTATTTTTGGTAAATAAATTCCTTTTAAGTTAACAAAGTGTTTTGCATTTTTGTTTTGATTTTACCATTTTTATATATTTAATGAATTTATTTGTCTGTTTTTAATGATTCAAGACAGTAATAAAATTATGTCCAAACAAAAATGAAAACCAAAACAATAACATTTAAATAACATCAATTATGATATTATTTAAAAAAAACAAATTTAAAAACAATTTTATTCAAATTGATAAAATATATAATAAAATATATAATAAAATATATAATAAAATATATAATAAAATATATAATAAAATATATAAAACAAACAATGTGAACTAAATTATATTCCTCTGAGCCACCTAAGTACCTCATGTTGTGAATCTTTGATCATCTTTTCGACAGAAAATTTTTGCAAATCTTTAATGACAAGTTCAACTGCATCGCTTTCGTTTTGTCCGATAAACAAAATATTATTTACCCATTCCTCAACAAATTTCTTATCAATTTTATCGTCGAAAAAAAAGCAGAGCGCGACCAAACAAACCAAAACGCCTGCGTTTCTCCTCATCACAATAAACCCGTCGGCAGATGTCTTCAAGAACAAGTCCCACCCATTCATCACTTCGCTCTTTAAGTTCATATTAATTTCACCAAGTTGTTTTCTGATAGAGACAGGCACTGCAAAAAGGTTTGCGTCGAAGTTTGGCCGTGAATTGAACAGGTATCCAAAATCGATGTGAAAGAATTCCCACGTGCAAAGGTCGAACTTCATGTTCTCGAGATGTCTGTCGTGCACTCCAAGGACATACCCACTGATAAATCCTCCAGCCAAGCTCCTTATCAATCGCTGTCCTTCCGCCTCACTCAATCTCGAGATTGAGAGAGCTGCGGCGCATTTCGGGCAGTTTTGGGCAAGTAAAGCCTCATACTCGAAAAAGTCGACGCAACACGTCATCTCTGCGTGTTGTCGACACAGTTGTTTTGGAGGTGTACACCCGACCATTTCTATTACCCCACCAGACAAAAGTGGTAATACTCTGTACGTTTTGCCATATGGTGTGATTGAATCAATGATTTCTTTTATAGTACCATTTACTGTTTCTTTGTCTTGATCACTCTGCGTTTCGGATTGAGATGATTTGTCGGAACGAGATTGAGTAGTTTCTTGAGTTTTCTTCTCATTTTTTGTGTGCGAATTTCTATTTGAAAAGGAACTGAAAAAGACATTAAATATTCCAATGCACGTCTCTGCGGCCAACTCCCGCCTAATATCGTCGCCCTTTTTATATAAAATTGAGTAGACATCCACCCCGACATTGTCGATAACCGTGACTTGAATCTCAATCGGTCCGTTCGTTGATTTGAATTTTTTGAGCATTCGTAAACACATCACATTTTTGTTTGAAAAAAAGGGGTCAACGTGGATCGGCCATTTAATGAGTTTTTGTTTTTTCTCTTTCAAACTTTGCACGTCCTGAGACACAATCTCGGGCCCCAAAAACCCACTGTCGAAGAGTAAAGTCTGTCCCTCTATGCTGTCCCCGTCTGCGTACTTCTCGTTCAGCCAACAGATGAGTTCATCAATCGACCGTTCCGTATCTGATAAAGATTGAAATGTGAGAGGAGTGATGAGTGGGTCTTCATGTTCTAATCGAGACTTTAATACCTCCAATATTCCGCACTTGTTCGGGTGATATGAGTAATTATAATGTTTTTGAAAATCTGAGTCGGAACATAAACAGATATTTTGTGCCCGGTGAAGCGTGACAACACGGAGCGCAAAAAATTGGTTGTGTTGAACTAACGTCAAAAAAGATTCAAAAAGTTCAGTTTTATAAAATCCTCTGTGGAGATGCTTGATGTACGCCATTATTACATGTGCATTTTCTCGTAAAAAATTGTTGTCATTTTTGAGATCGAGAAGTTGGTAGGAATGGAGGGAGTCCATCGCCATCTGTTGATAAAAAAGAAATTTTTCGGTTGTCGAAAGAGGAGGCATTTTGTTGTTGTGAGTTGTCAAAGTTCTAGATGTTTTGTGTTAAATTTTAACAAATTGTATTATTATAGTTATAGTTATTATTATATGTTTATTAAATGTTTAATTTAAAAACAAAATTTGAACTATTAGAATACTAAAAAAGTATTATATTATTTTGGTGAGTTTTTTAAAATTAAATAAAAAAAATATTATAAATTTTTTATTTTGTATTATAACTATTTAATATAAATTAAATAACAATCAAGTTATAGAATTTAATAAATAGCAATTAAAACAATAAATAAACCAATAATAATAATAGTAAAAAATTTACTAAATATATTATAAATGAACCATTTTTTTTTATTATTCAAATATAGTTTATAAAACTAATAATAAAATAAACAGGTAGAAAAAAAAACTACAAGTTTATAATTTATAAACTAGAATAACAAACCTCAAAAATTGCACCTTCAATCTAAAATATCAAAAAATGACAACATTGACTCCAGCTCAGCAAAACGAATTTGAGTCTCAATTTGTAAATCTTGTTCTCTCATTTTCCAAGTCAGTTTCCCTTTCCGCTGAGAGAACATTTATTCAAGTTCTCCCACTCACTGTTCATTCCGCAGCGTCGTATCTTGCCGCATCAGAAAAAGCGCTTAGAGATCGTCTTGATAAGACAAAAGATGTTTCAAATCAGTTGTTCGATTGCCTCAAACTTACAGATGAAAAAATTCCCAAACAGCAAGAGGAGAAGTTCCCACCAATCAACGAGATAATTGGTAAAAGGGTTTCACGAGGCCGTGATTGGAAATGGGACGAGCAGGATGGTGGTAAAGGGCACGTCGGTTTGTTTTAATGTGTTAAATCAATTGTTTATAAATCAATTATAACTTTTTATAGTTCTTTTGATTTACAGCCATTGAAGACTGATTGCAAGGAAAAGTTGTGTCGGTGAAAGGAAATGGTTGGGTCAAAGTTTTGTGGAATCCAGACGGTCAGCCAAATAGATATAGGTGGGGTGTTGATGGAATGTACGACTTAAGACTTGTAGACACCACAGAATCAGGTGAAATGTTGACCATGGAACAACAGACAAAAAAGGAAGCGTCATGGACTGTTGGCAAAGTGGTTAAGAGGGGACGTGACTGGAAATGGGAGAACCAAGATGGAGGAGAAGGAAATACTGGCATTGTCATTGATGTGGCTGACGACGGATGGGTCGAAGTGAAGTGGAAGAATGGAGAAATTGCACAGTACAGATGGGGCGACGAAGGCAAATTTGACCTTGAAGTTGTCACTAATTGATTCGTTAATCATCTTATCATATTCTTTTTGTTCTTCTTTTTTTTAAGGTGAAGAGGAAAAATAACAGCTTATTTAAAAGAAAGAAGTACAAAAAGAATATGTTTTTCACTCGAAAATATCCGCAGAAATGCCTGTTCGTTCCACTCTTTACTTTGAGATTTCGTCAAATCTAAATATTATTTACGAGTTTTTAAGTTTTATTATAAACTAAAAAACTTTTGGTTATTAACACGTTGGAGCTTCCTTTTTTCAGTTTTATATGAAAAAATAAAAAAATTGATGTTTTATTTTTTTCCGTATGTAAAATTTATAAAAAAGAGAAAAAACCTGGACCTACATTGACCACCACCACCACCTTTACCAAAAAATAATATTTGCCGTGAGTGTTTTTTGAAGGAAGTCCATTTTTCAGCCACTGTTTGTGCGTCCCCATGTCACCCACTTTCATTGTCCGTACTGTGTGGACGCGGATGTGGTTCCCCCCGCTTGCGGGGGGGTCAGGGGGGATCCGCGCCAAGGGAGGACTTGGAAAGTGGGTGAAACGGTGCACAAACAGACTGTTTGAGTGTGTCTTCAGAGCCTTCTTTTCAATGCTCCGTCTCACTTGGTTTCCACTGACTCGAGGTGAATTTTCGGCATTTCTTGAATTCGGGAACCAGACCTAATATTATCCCAGTTTCCTATTTACTATAATTTTAATTTGAATATGATTCGAAATAAAAAAAATAAATCTATTTTAAGAGGTGGTGGTGGTCAATGTAGGTCCCGGAAAAACCTGTTTGAGCTTTTTTATGGATTTTTATCCTTGTGATTTTAGTAAATTCAATATTCAAATGATAACAAAAATTACTAAGATATTCGAATTATTGTTATTATTGATTATCTTGGAGTGTTTCATTCCGTATAGCAATTTGCTTAGACGAAGAACGTTTGTAATAAGCGTTTTGTTGCCACTCGTAGTGACATTTCATCGACTTGATTCACATGAAATCATAGAGTGTTTATATTATAAATATACATGCTTTCAATTGAAGAGAATAGTACGTCTGTTTTTATTAACAAGATTAACTCCGACAACCGTCCCTAAAATTAAGTAATAATTTTAATTTTAATATTCAACGTTAAACTTATTACTCAATTTGATATCGACTTAAAAATTACTAAAAAACAACACAAACTGTTATTCTTTGAACTTTTGTTTTTTTATGATCAATGGCGTCTTTTTCATCAAAGACCCAATCAGATATTATCGTTTTGAATTTTAGATTATTTAGTAAAAATGTTATTTAAAAATATTTTTGTTTTACTATTTCGGCAAAATAGTATGTTGTGTTTTATAGGAAAAAATTTCTGGGAAAAAAACACACTTTAAACCCCAACGTGTTAATGTTTTTTTTAATTTTTTTTAAATTTGAAAAAAAATTGAAGTTTTTTAGTTTTTTTAATAATTATTATTTTAATGATTAAAATACTAGTTTTTTTAAAAACATTGTTTTTGTCTTCATTTGCAATAACATTTTGAAGATTTCAAAAGTTTTTTCTAAATTTATACTTTTCAATCATTTAATGAGAAATAATTATAACAACCCAATTAAAAAATAAAGATCAATTTGATTACTCTGTCCATTTTTAATTATTATAATTAACTATTTAATAATATATAAATAATTGAATAACTTTCCAACAATTATTTATTTGAAAATAAAACTATTAAATATAGAACACAAAAAATAAATAGCACAATTAATGAAACTATTTTATAAATTTATTAATAACTGATTTATAGATTATAAATTAAATGGTTTTAAAACTATTTTTTTATTTATTTTTAGGTTAAGTCTTATTGTGAATCAAATAATTGCTCCAGACTTTGGAAGTGCACAATTCGATGTTTTAATTTTCTTATCATCAATGTTTTTTTTATTTGGTTTATTGTTTAAAAAGTTGTTTAATTTTTAATTATAAAAAACAAGAAGCAAATCATTTATCTCAACACTTTGAGAAACGTTGGCTAATAACAAGTTGAAATTTATTTGAGTAGGTAACACGAATTATATATTTCAATGCATATAATATGTTAATTTCTTCTATTGAAATATTGTTGTAAAATATAGTTGTGTCCAAAAATGACCGTTTTACTTCAAGCAGTGAAAAGTTTTTTTAAGGATGAACAAAGTCAGGATACATAAAACGACATTCATTTCGGGTTTAAAACAATTAAATTTCCATAGATAAGTTGTTTCCGTTTTTTAATTAACAATTTAAATAATCATTGGCTGTTATATTCAAAACTTTTAATATAAATAAAAAATTATACCTTTAAAAAGGGCATATCGAAGTATTAAAAAATAACCCAATGTTTACAGATTTTCAAAACTCGTCATTTTTTGATTGAGAAATAAATAGAGTTGTTAACAGTTGGCAAGTGTTTTTATATTTTCTTTCTCATCTATTTAAAAAGAAATCCTTGTAAGTTTATATATTCAAATAACACACAAATTTTATTAGACTTTAAATTATATTTATCAATGTTTTTGGATTATTTAAAAACGAAACACAAGAAAATCAAAAAATAATGTTTTATATATGAAGAACGGAAATCACATCAACTTGTTTATTATCAATAGTTATTCATCTGAAATAATTTAGTCTTATTTTCTATGATAAAACGGCAAAACAATAATAGGGTTCCATTGTGAAAGGAAAACTATTGAAACAATTTTTATAGAATTAAAAATAAGTATTCTTAATTTTATCATTATTCAATTAAGTGAAAAATACAGTTTTATTTGTGTTTTTTCTATACTGGTAACTGAGTCTGCGATTTGATAATGTCGGTTTTAAATATTGTAAATTAATATTATTATTTTAATTATAAAATAAAATTTGTTATTATAATTACTTCAGAGAATTGACCATCATGTTTCATGAATGAAAATGGAAAGTAAGAAAGTCGTTAATCATTTCAAGAACACTTAAGTTGATAATTTGGTTAAAATGGATGGTTTCGTTTTTTGAAAATAAGAATGGACAACTAACATGGAGCCTTGATGTGAAATTTGAGTTGACAATAATGGCGTTTTGAATAGGTGTTGTTGTGATTTGAAAAAAAAATAAATTCCACTTCTTCAAGACACAATATTATCTTTTAATTCAATAAGACAATAGTCTAAAGATGATCAATGCAAGTTATTTGAACAACATACTATTTATTGTTACTGGTATATTATTAAGTTGTACATCAAATGCACAAAATGTTACATGTGCAATTGGATGTAGTGGAAACTGTATATCAGATTACACATGTGACAGTCCTTGCTTTGAAAATTATGATCAAGATCATACATGTAGAAATTGTGAACTTACTGATTTTATGGATATTAGTGGTCCAGTATTTATTAATAATGACAGAACATGTATGAAATCCACAAATCGGGTCAAATTAGGAAAAGGTATACCAAATGATGAGTTTATAACCCAACTTTCTTTTAATTCGACATATGATTTTGTAATTAATGAACAAAGTGTTGTTGATATTTCTTTTTGTATAAGTCGACAAAAGTTTAAATATGGCAAATGGTTTTCTTTTGATATGACAAATCTTGATTCAGAACAAGTGATATTTTCAATAAAAAAGCTCTCTGAATGTCAAAACGATGTGAACATTGATATTACAAGTGAACAACGAGAATTTCCTGCTATTAAATGTTTATCCCACTCTGTAATGAATTCTTCGTATACCCAAAGAAATATTCGAGTTCCAAAAAAGTCTCCATATCCAAATGAACCAGATCGACAATTCAATTATTACCTTTTTATTTCAGTAACAAACTTCTGTGATGTTAAACTCCAAATAAGTGTAGACTCTGCTAATGGAAAAATCTTTCGACCATTTCTTACTATTGATCAGAAATATGCTGATGACTTATTTGCACACATTGGAGTACCTTTATCTGTTTATTTTCCCATGCAAAATGAAGGCTTTTTTGGATACCCTGCTTGTATTGGAAATGATGTGTATAAGACTTTATTTGTTGAAGTTGAATTTACGGGGAATTATTCCTTGTTGTTTGATGGACGAAAAAATAACAGAATGCAGTTCTTCCAACAGATCTTAATAGAGAAAGATGATCAAGGCATTGAACGGGCGACATGCGTTGATGTTTGGGTGGGTGAGAGGTTTGGTGCTTTAGCTGAAAAACAAAAAGAAGGTATTTTAGTGAGAGTTGAAGGGCAATCTGGAGAACATAAAACATTTTCATTCTTTTCAAAAGATCAAGACTATGACATAGAAATTGATTTATCAGCAATTTGTCCTGATGACTGTGGTTCGTATGAAAACAGAGGAAGATGTTTACCAAGTGAAAGAAGATGTGTTTGCAATCCAAGTTATGGTGGGTTTGTTTTATTCTTACATGTGATACATATAATATATATAACTATAAATACATATTATAAATGGAATACCAACGTAAGATATATCTCATCAATAGAGATGATTGTCACAAAGTGTGTTACTATGACAGAAAGTGGCTCGTAGACAATACGAACTTGTGTTATTTTGGGGCTCCTGGATGTGATCAATATTGCCACTGTAATGAAGGTTATATTGAAAAAAATCACTATTGTATCACACCACAATGTCTTGCTGGTAAACCAGGACCCAAAGATGAATGCATTGCAGGGACCGAAGCGTGTCTTGAAAATTGTCAATGTCTGGTGAAAGGGGGGTTTGTTCCCACATATGAAAAGTTGTGCAAATCCAAATTATGTGGAAATAGTAGAATTGATGATTTATACGATTCGAGTAATGTCTTTATGAGACGAGAAGAGGTTTGTGTATTATCATGTAATAATAATTGTATGTTTAATATAAAAACTTATAATCCAGTGTGATAATGGTACAAATTGTAACAAATATTGTCGATGTCTTACTGGATATATTACTGATCCAAAAGATCCCAAATCTTGTATAAAGAAGGAAATTGGCATTGGTGTCATAGTTAGTATAGTAGTTGGCGCGGTTGTAGTTTTTATTGTTATTCTTGCTATTTTAATCTTTGTATTAACATTCTTATTAAGATACGAGAAAATAGATATCAACATTTTTAAACAACAACAACCTACATATCATTTATACATCTCTGGATCTATCCGTGCTTCGCCAGGGAAAAGTTCAAAATATAAGATGGACCCAATTGACTTGGATTTTGGTAATGAAACTAAAGCTACAGAAATACAAGATACAAGATTCCAACAGATAGAAGTACACAATTTTAGTAAGAAACACATGATGATCATCTTTCACACTACAAATTCAAAGAAGTTTATATTCCATTTTGAACCACAGGTGTTACATTTAACTCCACATTCGAAAGTTAAAATAGTTACTGTTTATATGACAATCTTTTGTACAACAAAAATTCGAGATATGAAATTGCCATATACTGTGTGGACTTCTTCATCGAAATACACATTGAATGATATTGCAATGACTTTAAAAGACAAATCATTTGAAAATTGGACCAATGACGATGAAAAGAAAATGACAAATTTACTGAAAGGGGTGAAAATGCACATGCATTACAATTTAATGATTAAAACAGACTCCGCATCATCGACTCATATCGACTTGGATGAACTTAATATGTCCGAAAACCCAATTGCAGAAGGTGCAATGGGTAAAGTATATATAGGGAGTTACCGGAGTGTCCCAGTTGCAATAAAACAGTTTAGGTGGGAAAATTTGAATGAAGAAGAAATGCTCTATTTGAAGAAGAATGTGATCCAAGAATGTGAGATGATGAGTAAACTTCGTAATCCGTTCATTGCGAATTACATGGGTTCTGTCACATACATTCCACAAGTCTCAATGGTCATTCAATTCTTTGTCTTAGGTTCTCTCGCTGAATATTTAAGAAGTGAAAAGGATTTTTATGTTGAATTTCCATATAAATTGAAAGTGAGGATGTTGTTTGATACTTCACGTGGAATGCAATTTTTACATGAAAATCGGATTATGCACTTGGATTTAAAGCCAGACAATTTACTGGTCAATTCATTGGATCCCAACAGTGCTTGTTCTATCAAAATCACAGACTTTGGTACATCTAGATTTACAAAGAAGTCCATAAAAAGCGGTGAAGATAAAGGATTGGGAACACCAATATATGCCGCACCAGAATCGTTCAAAGATGAATACACTTTTGCGGGAGATGTCTACTCTTTTGCAATAACAGCTTGGGAGATATTCTATCAAAAAGAACCTTATAAGGAATTCATGTCTATTTTCGAAATCAAAAACCACGTCATCGCAGGAAGAAGACTTAAAATAGATGAAAAAATGCCACGGTTGTACCGAGAAATAATAAACAGTTGCTGGCAACATGACCCAACAAAAAGACCAGGGTTCGATCAAATCACTAAAATGGTGATTGTCACAGATGAGGATTGTTGTAACCACTGTGAGTTAGATAACAACAACACGTTTATTGAAAAGACGGAGGGACTCATCAACAAGAGGATGAGTAAGATGCGCGAACTACTTGATGAAGAAGATAAGTAACTTTTAATATTTAATTAATATTAAATTATAAATTAATTCAATTAAAAAAACTATAAATATATAATATATAATCTATTTAAATAGCAAAATAAAATCAATAAAATGACCCGATTAATTAAATATAAATTAACCAAGTACAAAATGAATAAACGAGATGGTAGCATATCAAAAGAAAAAAAGTAGCAAATTTACCCGTTTATATTAACAAAAAACCACAAAAATAAACCAATAATAAACAATATCTTTATAACACAAAAAAAATCCAAATAAAAAACAATAAAACACAAAGTTAATTGAATTAAAAGAAAAATGATTCAAACATTCCCGATGTATTAAATAATAAAATAGAAATAAAAAAAGAAGATTAAAAAATGCGATAGAGAGATGATATGAGATTGTAACGAGATTGAGGTATGAGAGGCTTAGGTAAGAGGACAACGAACTTTAAAATTCAGAAAAAGATGAGTTCGCGTAGTGAGGCATTAGACTTGAGTCAGACCTTTGAGAAGATGAAGAACCCAGACCCTGATCTTCGGTACATGGCGACTTCCGATTTGAATGTCAGTCTTGGGAAGATGAAAGGGAAGAAGTTTATAGATAACGAGCAACGAGAAATCATGAGTGGCTTGTTGACGTTATTGACTGATGAAGCGAATGACGTGAAAGACATCACGATCAAGTGTTTGAGTTCTTTTATGCCATTTGTGACATCAGTGAGTGCTGTGAAGAGTTTAGTCGAGAAGTTAAAGACGATGCTGTTAGATGCGAAGAAGGCGTTGGATGTGAACAGAGATGTTGCTTTAGA